ATATATATATATATATATATATATATACAGTGTAAATTTATGGATACTAGGGGTGTCAATTCAGGTTGAACCCGACTTGACCCGGGCATAAATGGGTCTACCCAAATCCAACCCGGGTTGACACGACCCACCAACCCACTAGAAAAAAAAAATTAAAAATGAATTTTTATTATTTTTAAGCAAATTATTGAAATTAAGAAATAATAAACAATAAAAAAGCAATAGATCAGTAAACAATAAAATTTAAATTTTATTCATAAATTCTAACAACTTACACTTTACAAAAATATATTACAATTTATAAATAGTCAAATACAACTTAACTAAACAAGTATAAAGTTGCTTTGCTTAATTGTTGCCTTTCACCCTTTAAGTCCAAGGTTTCATGCATAATCATCAATTGCTCACCAATAAAGAACTTACAATGTTGCATAAATAAATAAATAAAAATAATAATTCATTGATTGCTATCAACCAAAGGCAAGTCTTAGACTCAGGATGAATCTAACAAAGAAATATCAGCTTCAACAATTTTAAAAATTGTGCCCTCCAAGGATATAAATTGGCAATATGACTTTAATCAATTTAATTTCTATTCAATTAAATAGTATCTATTCAAGCCATAAAAATCATTTTTACAAATTTATAATCTAGTTGCCCTGAGGGCTCAAAGAGAGTGAGGACTAGAAACCCTTAAACGGAATAAGACATAAGAGGTGAAGACTCAAATAGTTGAACGCGACATCTCGACTCAAACTCTCCAAGTTATAATAATTAAACAAAGAGGTCGTGAGTTAGTCAGGACGCCAGCGGGTTGGAGGGTTGACTCAAACCCGACCCGAAATATACATGGGTCAAGAAATTAGACCGGAACCCAACCCGTTTATCACAAGTTGATCCTAACCTGAATTTTTCGGGACGGATTTTTGGGACGTGTCAGAAATTGATAGACCTATGCATACCTAAGATGATTTGATAAGGGATCCTCGATTCGACCCTTGCAGGGCAGTAGCCTCAGGTGAGTTGAGCTTGTCAATCCCCTCAAGCGGGTCCCTCTGTAGGCCACAAAGAAACCCTTCTCAAGGGCAAGTATCCTCATCAAGACCTGATAGGTACTCGTGAAGACATTCATGAGTATACAATTGCGATATAGTTTATTGGTTTACATGCTTTATGTAGAAGTATGAAAGTCACTGTTGATTCTTCTATGTGCAATTCATTGTTCAGAGTTGTACGTATCTTATGAAATATTTAGATTTTTGATAAAAAAAATATATTGGTTTTGTTGTTCTGTGTGCAAATGATTATTCCTGGATCTCAAGTAAGATACAGACATCCTCTTGGGCTAGATGAGCACTAGTTTTCGGTTATCTGAGCAACTACTTCACACATATTTTACTGAAATGCTTTCTGCATTTTTTCGAACAAGAGACCAATCAATGATTTATATGATTTCAAGAAGCAAACTGGTGTTTGTGAATAACAATTATAGTTATTATTATTATTATTATTTTAAAGTACAAGATAATAACAACAACTTCCATACAGTAAAAGACATTCATGAGTATAATGCTTTATGTAGAAGTATGAAAGTCACTGTTGATTCTCTATGTGCAATTCATTGTTCAGAGTTGTAGTTATCTTATGAAATATTTAGATTTTTGATAAAAATATATTGGTTTTGTTGTTCTATGTGCAAATGATTATTCCTGGATCTCAAGTAAGATACAGACATCCTCTTGGGCTAGATGAGCACTAGTTTTCGGTTATCTGAGCAACTACTTCACACATATTTTACTGAAATGCTTTCTGCATTTTTTCGAACAAGAGACCAATCAATGATTTATATGATTTCAAGATGCAAACTGGTGTTTGTGAATAACAATTATAGTTATTATTATTATTATTATTTTAAAGTACAAGATAATAACAACACATCAACAACTTCCATACAGTAAAATTCAATACCAATATAGTACTAATCTCATTTCATGTTATATAAATCTTAATTCAAAGTAGAAGCCAAGTAATTTGGAAGGAGTTTCACAAGTTGGACACAGAAGAACTCGGTTGTCTTTGATTTACTCCAAGCTCTGTAGGTGCAGGTTCATCATGAGCCCAGGATGATATCAAATGGTGAGCAATGGCAAATGGTCCAGGAATAAACATGGGAGAGAATTTATCACTCTCTACTTTGAAGTCTGCAGATAAACTTTGGCCTTTCTCAACTCCTTTACACATCTCATTCACCCTGATGGCCGCCGTTCTCTGAGCTTTCTTGTAATCGGCAGCTATTAATGCCCTCTTCACATCCTCCCTGTCATGCCATTGAGCATCTGCAAATAAATCAAAGATATTAAACAAGGATAAATTTCTAACGATTCATGAAAGCAGGTGAAAAGGTCAGATCATAATAGATTATGAGATAATACATAACAAGAACAATAAATAAGAGGTAATGATTTCCATTCAAATGAAATAACTACAAGATTTATAAAATTATAAGAGATGATAGCATTTGACAATAATGTTTTTAACAAAATATTAATTATAACTAATAGGATATCAAATAATGGAAGAAGAATTTTGTTACGACTATTTAAGAACAAGGCAGATATTCAGATTGTGGCATTTACAAAGATATCAAATTTGGAGTGATTCAATAAAGTTAAGGGAAGAGGGTGATTAAAGATATGCAAAAAAAAAAATGTTGAATAACATAATCAATTCAAATGCTGAGGAAAATATTTGTGTCAAAAATATTTTCAATTTGAAAATACATAAAATTAAAGTTTTATTATGAGTGACTTATAAAAAAATATTATAAAATTACATAAAAAATAAACATCTAGTTTTATCAATTTTGTGTAGGTTGTCAGGAGACCTATGACATAATTTAAAAAAAGAACACAAGTATCATAGCAACTAATGATTGTTTGATAAGCAAGACATCTCTTGAAGTGTAATGCTGTACAATATCAAGAAAATTGCTTATTAGAAGAGAAGGATTTGAGCATTAGTCAAACACAAATTGAGCAAGTTTTTTGTAAATTTAAGTAAAGAAAAAAACTATTATCTAATGATATTATTGAAAGATAAATTGACACCTAGGTGTATATATTTTATTATATTGAATCTTTAGACTAAATCAGTATATGAACGAGGACACAACTTATAAAGTTGAAATCGAATGGTCAGCTATTTTTGTGTTGCAAAGAGAAAAAACACCGACAACCAAATTGATTGTGGTTAAAATGAGAATGGTCTGATGAAAGTGTGTAAAATTATGAATGATAAAGTGAAAAATGATTTTCATTAAGGAAATGATAGAAGGGAAACCTTTGAAAATAAGATAGTGAAAATAAACTTAGGTGGGTGGGTCATTTAATGACAATAAAGGCAAAAGATTCATCAATATAGTAGATTGAAAAAATTAATGTGAAAGAATCAAGAAAATATGAGAATTACTAGAGGCAACAAGAATAGAAGTTAACGCAAAATATCAGTACAAATTTTTGGCAAGTTTGTCAACCTGCCTTCATTGCTCTTTTTTCATAAGCAATGTCGCTCTTTTTTGTTGAAATACCCTAAGAGTTATATGGAATTAAAACTGTGATATTATTGAGATGATTCAGATAGCTTCAGACTATGGCATAGCTGTGCTGTGCAAAGGAGGTATAGAAATTTTATTTCCAAAAAAAAAAGTTCAGAGTGATACCTTCTAATTCTGCTTTGTCCACACGAATTTCAAATGACTTTGCATATGCAAAGAATCCAACCATCAATTGGCATGGCATGCTGCTTGGTCCAACTGAAATGTTTAAAATAAGAACACTAAGAATTTTAAATCTACACAAAAAATAGGAAGTTCTAAAAACATAAGCATTATTAATGACATGCAATGTTGGCTATTTAATAGCAATCACACAGTATTTAGTTTAGAGAAGTTGTTTTCATGATTTACTATCTATGAATTCTGCAGGAAAAAAAAACTTTTTTCCTAATAGCCCTATGCAAAAGCTGAGATTTATTCCTTTTAAGCACAACATTCATTTGAGCATGTGTAAGACAGATAGTGAAATAATTAATTCTATTTTACTCAATATGAACCATATTAAATGCACGAAGGAAAGATAGTCTCACAGAAGAACGACAATGGAATACATCCTGAAAACATAATAAAATTAAATCCAAATGAGTACCAGGCCATGGCTGTGAACTGTGATAGACAACTTGCCCAACTTCAATGCCAGTTTCCTCCCATGTTTCTCTTCGCACAGCTTCTTCTAAGCTTTCTCCTGGCTAAAAAAGGCACTCTTTAACACTTTCATGAGAAGAGCTTTGAAATCTATAAGAATTAAGAAATGTCTACAAAAATATTATAACGGATCAACCATTTCAGCTTTTAGGTGGTAATGACTTACTGGTTGTTTCTCTTAGGTTCTTATCACTTACTTGTCATAAAGCTCGAGTAAGTAGTACATGTCTTTAACTATTAATCAAATTGGGCCAGAGAGGATATTTCACAATCAGACAAATAAACTTATCTGGATACATTTGAAATTTTACAGCAGAGGATAACGTATACACAGTTAGACTATGGCATATTAACTATGCACATAGACAAATGTGCTGCATGATCACACAAATAATGAATTTCCAACCAAATATTGTGAAATCAGTTTGTGGAAAACAGCTGACTAAGAAACCAACAGACCGATCCCATTACTTTATCAATTATCATCCGTTTCTTTCTTTCCCACTGGCTTAAGTTATAACAATGATCATCCAAAATACATTTCCTGAAAACGTAAATCAGAAATTTTTTGAAAGGATAAAACCTTAGAAGAGAGAAACTGAAAATTTCATCAGGATTTCAGGTTAATCACAGCTTCCACAAGACTCCTGATCTCCTAATAAAGCTTTCATCATAATCAATTTCTTAAAAATGATACTTTCCATGTCAAGTCTATTTTAACCAAATGCTAATCAAGGAGCATACAATAAGATATAATACTATTCTGAACAACATTCAAATAAAGTTGAACACAGGTAATGTGTTTTTGTACCTCTATAAAGCCAGCAAGGCAGCTCCACATACGAGGAACAAATCTTGACTGGCGGCTCAAAAGTGCACGATCATTTTCCTTATCAATTACTAGCATGATAACTACCTGTTGAAAAAAATGCACCCAAAGAGTCAAAGTAAACTTCGTTGGATGGCCATAATTATATATATAAGAACTTGAAATCTTACGGGATCAACTCGAGGATATATTTTCTTCTTGCATGATTCATCTGAGCATTGCTTACGCCTTCCAGCATCTATGGGAACTGTGATGGATCCACAATGGCCACAGAATCGAGAAGTTCTATGCCAATCCAGCAAAGCCCGGGCCTAAATAAGTGGCATATTAGAAGTTATTTAGAGTTTCATTTCATTTCACTGCAGGAGAAGAAACTGAATTATGCAAACTTTATTGAACTATACGAGATCTGAAAAATATTTTATATGCGTATACTTATCATGCATTTGCACCAATGACATGAAAGATGAGCAGTTTAAGAGTGTAATTACAGAGCTTCCTTTAGCCATTCATAGCACCAATGCATCCACACAAATCTACTCCATACAATGGAGGACTAGAAGCTTAGGAGTACACCGAGCAAGATGCTTTTACACATAACATATAAATATATAGAACTTTTCTTAAATCTAAAGGGGGGCCAAAATCACCCGCAGTCAAAAGCACATATATTCATTCACAAGATTGAATATTGACAATCAATAAAAAATAATAATAATTTGACAAACACATCATGAGCATCAAAACCAGCCTTACACCAACTTATAATGCTGACTTGTATTTCACATCCATTTCTTTCCGCTTGTTCAAATTTATTAGAGCAGAATTTATATTGAGACTGAGGGGCTGTTTGTATTCTATTTCAGGCAAGATTTAGCTTAAATACTGTCAAAAAGAATTATGAAGATTTCAGAGCCAACTGTTTTGATATATGTCATTTGAATCTTATTATTAATTAAATCTAAAGTTTATTAAATCCCACCATTCACATAATTTAACAGACGTGAGAATTTTAGCTCCCTAATAAATCTTAAATTATGATATAAATAGTCTAATAATTTATCATAATTTAATAAGATTTAACGGTTAAACAGCTTTCAGATTTCCTCTCAAGATTTACTAATTCAAGATTTACAAGATTTGCTAAATCCTACCTGACTGAGTGTGTGTAAGTGGGCATGCTTGAGAGAGAGAGAGAGAGAGGCATACATGCCCAGCAATCGACAGTTCCCCCATGGCACCAGTGTCAGCCCAATCGGTGGCAACCATGAGCGTCCTCAGTTCCACGAAGCAAAAACCATCGCTCCCGCCACCCAACCGATAAGTAGCGGTGTCGGCGACCTCCACCGCCCAATACGCCTCATCTTCCCCTTCCCCCGAACCCAGGTAGACAAAGGAATCCACTGACACCTCCTTAAACTGCGACGGAGAGATCCAACTCAGATGCCAAACCGGCGGCGAATCTCCGACCGGATCCAACGACTGCGCCAGAGGCCGTCCCTTCCTGAAGGCCAGGATCTTCACCTCTAGCGTCGAATCCTCCTCAGACCCTCGCAAAAGGAGCGACTTTAACTTCTCAAGTGCGGAATTAGGTGATTGCACGAGCTTGTTCGATCTAAGAGGGTTTCCGGCGAAAGCGTGGGCCTGGAGATGAATCGACATAGCCGGAGTATGAGTATCCAAATCTCGCTTTCTTCTCAAGTAGTTTAATCAGCGTTTTCTTATGGACGGGGCGACTGATTTACCATTCTTTTCTTTTTTCTTGACTTTCCGCATGTGGACGAGGAAATAGCAAAGTTTTACATTTTTTTCTTAATTGTCGGACGTAGAAGGGTGGGTAGAATCTGGATTTAATAAATCCGAAATGTGTTAAATTCTAAAATTATTTGATATATCAAATGTTAAATTTTGTTGAATTCTGAGAAGCTGTTTGATAATATATTTCAGGATTTATAGTACTTAGGGATTTAAATGTGAAAAATATAATTATAATTTAAAAATAAATTTATAATTAAAAATAAAAAATATAATGGGTTATAAATTTAATAATATGTTAAGTATAAATTACTCGTTAATTATTATTTACACAATTAATTATATATTTAATAATAGATATATTAAGTTATATTAATTAATCTAATTATATTAATATTTAATTACTAATTATACAATTAAGTTAAATCAGATAATTATTTTTATTCACTAATTATACAATTAATTATTTAATTAATTTACTTAATTATTAATAATTTAAATTATATTAATTAAGTTAATCAATAATAACTTGTAGAGGCATCTATGGTTTGCCTTTCAATTCTTCTTTCATCGTGTTTGATTCTTTTTCGTTGCTTTGCAGTGTATAGATTGCGACGCCGTCGCTGGTTCTGCGGCTCCTTCGTGGTTGTTGACTTCGCCTCCTGGTGACGAAACTTCTCATCAACCCGTATCGGAAAGTTACCGACTTTTGAATCGGAAGCAAAGAACGGGAGCTCGCTTGGCTTGTGAAGGTAACTTTCTCCCTTTCGCGCTTCTCTCGGAAAATCCGTATAAATCCGCCCCCTCGATTTACTAAATTCCATGATTTAAAGCCGTTAAATCGGGTTTACGAAATCCGGGATTCAATGCGTGCACAAAACTTTGGGCTTGATTTAGCATAAATCCACTAAATCCGATACCAGTCTGGTCGATGCCCATATGAGGTCATCATTTCGGATAGGATACGGCTTATCATATTATTTATGTTTTGTTTACTTCAAGTAAGAGAATGCGCCTGACTCAAATTTTATTGAGGATTGATTTTTATAGTCTCGTTAATTTGGAACACCGAAAGAATGTGTATTGCATCTATCTAAGAATTAACTCTACATATATAAAAAAAAAATTCGTAAAGTTTTGACTTGGATATTTCTGCCTCAGTTATGTTCATTTGTTTAGAGCAATAATATAAGATGAGAAAATATTTTATTCATCAGAGAAAGTTTACACAAAGAATCTTGCTTTCTTATTCCTTTGTGGCCCGTAAATATATAGTGACAAAGCCTAATCTAAGGAGAAATTCTTTCTATTTATTTTAGAAAGTAATAATTTGTGTGCGTTAAGAGAACATATACGGTAATCATTTAATTGCATAATTGTGACATTTTTATCAAATATACACAGCAAAATTGTTTTATGACATATAAGTGCTACTCCTATTTGATTTATGAAGTATACATTAAAGAGGAAAGCTCTTCACATTGTTATAAGCCGACATAATGTTTAGCATCATATATATCATACCGTTTAAATAGAAATGTATCCATATCATATCTACTAGGGCCTATTTGGATGAAAAATTGGTAACTTTTCAACAATTACTTTAAATACATTTTGAAGCCTAAGGTGACTTTGTTGAACCCATATATATGTACACAATAATTGAAATCAAAAACATACACATCATCTTTTCACACCATAGCGAATCAAAAATTATCACTTGACTGGAAACATTTGATCCTCTAAATCAATCTTTTAACATGAATGTTGAGCCAACTAACCATTCGACATGGATGAGATGACTCAAGTGAGGCAAGAGGTCTCGGTCATTATTACTGTTGAAGATATGATGAATTAGGCCATCAACTATACATTGGTCATAGATTTTCATTGAAAGAATATTAGAATGCAACCCAATGATTAACATATAGATCTTAGTCCGCTCCCATCATGTGGGTGAAGAAGATGATAGGCAATTATATACATGTTTTTAGGCAAGAATTGATTTCAAGCATTTAGAAAGCAATGCCTTCATTACTTCAAGTAAAGCAATTAGTATTTTGTTAAAAAGTTGCTGCAATCAATTAGAGAATGTAAGAACACAACATAAGAAAATAGTAGGTTCATTTAAAAATCATTTTTTAAATCAATTTGGAATTTAGATCACGACCACAGCATACCACAGCATGTCTGTCTTCCCCAGAAACTATCACCAACTTTCTCACATAAAATCAGAAGCATCTAAACAACAACACAAGGATCTTCACCAATTCCTAGAAACAGAATATCACGAGAATTAAACTTACAAGATCCTACAAATATCAAGTACAGACGAACCCCCAAAAAAAAAAAATAAAGTGCAACATAAACATCAAAATCAGTAACAGAGCAAATTTAGTTGCATGGAACAACCCAGAACTAGATTTCCTAGAAATGTCAAGCACTAAATAAGCATTTATATGGTGGATCCAGGACTGGTTCTCTCATCACAAACAATAACTAAAAACTAGTACAGATACCTGAAACCCTCACTTCTGCCCAGCAGAATCAGGGGAGCCATCGCCATAAGAGACCAATCCTTTCTTCCCATCCCGAGGACTGCTTGATGGAGACCTTGACACCGACTTCTCCTTGCTGGCTAGTTTTGGAGAGGGAGTATCAGGAGACGACCGCGATCTAGACCTGGAGCGAGATCCCGACGGACTCCTGCTTGCAGAAATTGACCTTGGCTTCTCAGAACGAGGTGCATCCCGGTAGCTACCATGAGATCTCATCAGCCGATCTGATGGAGGTGAGCGGCTGCGTATAGGGCTACGGCTGTATCCACCTTTTGGTCTGCCACGGTAACTGATAGGGCTTCTTGAAATGCTTCTGCTTCTTCTAGCTCTATACCTACAAATACAAATAAAAAATGACGCAGACTTCAAATAACTTCTCAAAGTGAAAGGAGAAAAGCAGTTTGAAACCATATGCAATCTTCATGAATAATGCATTTTTTGCAACCAAATAAGAAACTTTCAACAAGATTCATCATGTTTTTGGGAATCTGATAGATAGTATAACAAACGAAAGTACCTGGGAGGGGTCCTATATCTCCTAGGTGGAGATCGATCACGGTAACCTCTGTAGCTTGAATATCTGATAAAGTAACCAAAGGATATCTAATGAAATATTTAAACAAAACAGTTGAAGAACAAGTATCAAGAACTTTTATGTGCATGTTTCATCACCTATCCCTCTCATTCCTTCCGCCATATCGATGCAATCTGACAGGGGAACGGTCAGGTGATGGGGTGCGATATCTCCTTGCATAGGAATAACGCTGACTAAAACCTCTCCCTCTTCTGATGCGCTTAGGTGATCCATCTGGTGAAGCACTTCTTGATAAACTCCTCCTAACTGGACTTCTAGTCAAACTTCTTCGTGACCTCTGCCTTATAGGACTTCGACTTGCGACTCTTCCAGTTGATCTTACAGGGCTTCGGCTGGTGCTTCTACGAGTATCCCTGAATGGGCTTCTACTAGCAGTTCTATGTGAGGATTTCACAGGACTCCTACTGATACTCTTTCTCCGTGCAGATCTCAATGAACTTCTGCTGATACTGCGTCTTTCATGTATAACAGGGCTTCTGCTTACACTTACTCGAGCAGGAACCCTTCCAGAGCTCCTACTATCACTTCTTCGGGGCAGGGACCTTGCAGGGCTTCGGCTACTGCTTCTTTGACGGGCTTCTAGAGGACTTCTGTCATCTGCAACTGGGCTTTTGGTTCTTCGGATTGGGCTCTGGCTTATGCTCCTCCTGATTGGACTTCTGCTAATGCTTCTCCTGATTGGGCTTCTACTGGCGCTTCTAGGAGGGCTTCTACTGATGCTTCTCCCTGGGCTTCTGCTAATGCCCATACGTGGGCTTTTGCTGATGCTCCTACCAGAGCTTCTGCTGATACTTCTAACTGGACTTCTAACAAAAACTTTTTGAGATGCGTGGCCCTGGCTTTTATTGGGACTCCGAGGAGGGCTCCTGCTAATAGACCTCTTGGGTCTTGCACGTGGACTTTTGCTTTGACTCCTGGGACTTATGCTCATACTCTTGCTCATAGATTTCTTAGGACTACTGGTATGGCTCCTGCTCATCAATGTCAGAAATGTAAGGTAGTGGAAGAAGAATCAACAAAAATTCGTAAGGAGGTGATAGAAATATCTTTATACCTAGATTTGATATGTTTGTCACCAACTGCAGACAGAAAATCTGTACTTCGATCAGATTTTGCTTCTGTGATGCCATTGCTGCGCAGCTCCCCATTCTCTCTAGACAATTTAACTAATTCTACTGACGGGTTCAAAATGGAATCCTCTAGTGTTGGAAGACTAGTAGTAGCTTCTTTCTCTGAGATTATAATGGTCTGATTATCAACTGCCATGCAAATAGGAGCATCTTTAGGTAAACCGTCAAGCCAATATACAGACTAAAAACCATGGATGATAAACAATACACACAAACTTAAAGTGACCGTAGAAGGTATTTTTAGGAGAGTAAGACCATCTGTCAATCAACTTTCGTAACGGAAGTATAAAATAAAAAAAGAGTGAAAAGTTGCAACTTAATTTGACTAAGAAGCTCGTGCTTATGGAACAGTAATCGCATAACAAAGATGATCTATTAAGAGTATCCCCACAGCAGGCCAGTGATGAAGGACGAGGATTCCAAGGGTAACTACTATGCTGCATGGTATGTTTTCATGCAAAGGATAGTTGAAGATTCAAAGATTAATAGTTGGCAATTAATCGAACAACTCATCCTATTTTAATGAAAAAATTAATAGTACTTTAAGCCCAATTGATAATAAAATAATCTCCACATGTTTTAGCGGAAATTTATAAATAAACAAAATCTGTGACTAGAAGAATTAATTTTTTTTTAAATTCCAAACAGATCATATTTTAACCAAAATTAAGAGTACTAAACTAATTAATAAAAAATTACATTGAAAAATAGACGAACAAAAAAATCAGGTCTAATGCAGGTGCAAGAAAAGACTTTCTTTAAGAACAAACAGTCATACTTTTAACACGCTCTAATGAATCACACATCCATGTTGCACTCACAAGATTAAAAACTAAAAAAGATGTTGTATTTAAGTCAAAAGGACAAAATGTATCTTTGCTCACAGAAAGTACAAACTAAATGGTCTATACATGTGTAATAAGCACTAACTTATTCCTTTATTCTATTTTTAGTTTGTTTTAGATAGAACAATTCTATATTATAAACGTGGTGTACCCAAATATTATAAATACACATACTACTTTCTTATGTTATGGAATGAATGATTTATAATTTTTCCCTCTCTAGTCTCTCTTCTTCCCCCTCCTTCTTCCTTAAGGAGTCCACACAAACTCAAAAGGTGTTTTCTCCTTGATGTAAATCAAGAAGCATAACAAATGGCACTCTTGTTGCACTACCCTCATGACATAGCAAGAGGTTTCTTCTCAGCTTTTTGTATCTCATTCCCACAGTCCAGAACTCCAATTTCTGTCATTTTTTTGCCTCCCGCCTACAGGCCAGCAGCAGTCCACCATCCGGAGTCCCTCCTGCAAGCCGCAAGCCATCAACCTTAAGGCCTTCCATTCTTCTTCCACTCCAACAGCAACAGCAACAGCAACATCCCTCATCCCTCATCAACAGAAAACATCAGCAACCAACTGTTATTCTTCCACTCCACGGGTTAGCCTTCAACTGCAGCCGCAAGAAGCTCCTTCCACCATCCACAATTCTTCATACAGGCTCGGCTACCACTCACAAATTTGCTGCAGTTGCCCTCTTAACCACAGATTCCAACCAAGACCCTGTCTTGAAGAGTCATTCAGCCCTCTTTCCAGCCACCATACCTTTTCTCCTCCACAGAAACACCATTCTCCACCTCATAATATGATAGGAAACACTCGTAGATCTCAAGTAATTCCTATCAATATTTGAAAAACAGCAAGAATTCTCCACAAGAATCCACACAAAACCATGAAAACAGTAGATAATTTGTAATATTTGATGAAAGGGAAACGGAAAATACCAAGATAAAAATGATCCTCTATTCAAGAGGATCTATCTCTCCCAAATCTCTAGATGCCACTAGAGCTCAAAACCTAAGAGAGATCTCAAATTTCATCCAAATTCAAGATGCCCTAACCCTAGGAAAACAAGCAATTTAATGCATACAATCCAAAAAGAAATCTCTAAACAGTCCCTACATTCAAATTTCCCTCCTAAACTCCTCCCAAATCCTTCCTAATCAGAGCTTTTGGCTATGTAGTTTGAGCGGCCCGTATAGGAGGCGGAGAAGTTCCACCTCTATTGCGCGTGAGCTGGTTCCGTATGGACTGGCTGGACCACTCTAAAATAATCCTGCGGACCAACAGTCTCCACTGCCGCAGCCTGCTAACTTGCTGCATTCAAGAACAGCAACAAGAAATCTGCTGCTGCCTTCAAGAATTTCTTCAGTTTTTTTAGATTCTGTATCTGCAAGAATATCAAGAACAGAAGTTTTTAACTTATACAGCCATTTCTTCAGCCGCTACTCTTATACCTGCACTCAGCCGGTCAACCACTCTCCTGCATTCAGCAGGAGGAATCCACCTTTCACTCAGCCATCAAGAACTACAGTTTACAAGAACAGCAGGTCATTTCCCCAACCAAACAGCGCCCAATACAATAAGCAGCGAACCTCTGTTTCAGCTGCTGGGGAACCTCTGTTCCTCTTCTCCTACCATCTATGGCCTACAGATTTCCATTTCTTTCCACTACAAACTTAATTCAAACCTTCAGATTCTTTCATGAACGCATCAGGTTTTCTGTTTACTTGATTTTCTTTCCGCTTTTTTGTCAATTTCAGAAACTGACTTCTACTAGTTTATCAAGAACCCCATATTCTTCCGCTTTCAGCAGCCCTCACATTCTTCTCAGCATGACCAAAATAGATTTGGCAAAAGCTCTACAAGCAATGCAAACAAATCAAGAATTACAATTCTCTGAAATGCAAAAATCTCTACGATAAGACGATGTTCAATTTGCTTCCATTGTCTCATCCCTTCAACAAATCCATGCTTTCATGGATACCATAGACAACTTACTTGATAGTTTGTGTATTGACCATCCACATACTCCACTCCATTAAGATACTTCTTCTACTGGCATTCTTGGTTCCACCAGCCAAATCCCTTCTCCACAACAGCCACATTCTCCAACAGGCTTCTCTTTTCTTACACACCATCTACCATTATCCAATTCTACCTTTATAATCTCAACATTTGTTTCAGCCACCACAAGGTTTATCACAACCTTGTACCATTGACCAACATATTCATCTTCCACCCTTATCTCAATCAATTAACATCCATCCCTATCATTATTCATATTTTTAAAAAGATGGTATGGACCAATTAGTTTCTGAAATGCTTCACTCTGGCATTATTTGTCATAATCTCAACACTTTTTTTAGTATGAAGCGAGATGGTACTTTGTGTTTTTTGCATTAATTCTAGAGCCCTTAATACACACGCCATTAAAGATAAATTTCATATTTCAATAATACAAGAATTTTAAATGAATTATATAGATTTTTTTCCAAACTTCATTTTTGTTCTACCTTTCAGCAAGTTAGGGTACATTCAAAAAAAGTTCATAAAACTATTCATGACAGTCACTAAAAATTTCTCCTTATGCATTTTTCTCCTTCTAACTTTTTACAACTTAACAGCCAAGTTTCGTTACAATGAAAATTAAATTATCGAATGATGCCACTGGGTAACTTTTGAGACCCTATTCGTTTTTTCTTCTCTCAACCTTGAGGACAATGTTGTTTTCCAATTTCCATTGTGATGGGGTTGTTAGACATCAACAAATATTATGAGATCCTAAAATAATACAATCAAACTATGAAGCATGGGCCTCAAATATGATAGACAAATCTAGAAGCATAAAAATCTACCAAAAAAAAGAAACCAAAAATATATTCCACATAGACACTAAAACAAGCAAAGGACAACAATGTATCTTTGACCAAAGAAAGAACAAACTAAATGATCTATCGATATATAATAAAAACTAGTTTATTTCTTTTATTCTACTTTAAGTTTGTTTTAAATAGACCTGTTCTATAATATAAACTTGATCTACCCAAATATTATAAATACACCTATTATAAAAAAAGGTTATGAAATGAATGATTTATGGTTTCTCCCTCTATAGTCTCTCTTCTTCCCCTTCTTCTTTAGGAGTCCATACCTACTCAAAAGATGCATTCCCCTTCTTGATGGTAGATTAAAAAGCACAACACACGCCCTGCCTTTAGAAACAAAAATCATACACCTCTACAAAAGTTGCAAGACACGCCCTTATCATTTCCTTTTTTTAATAAACTAAGGGAATGTATGACAAAACTTTCTTTTAAAGAATACTGCCAACCACAACAACAATCTGCATGACCTAGAAAAATATGACAATGATAAATTGGATTTTTGATACCCTAACCTAACGTGGTCCATCATAGCATATACCGAATAAACTACCTAAAGCTTGAAAATACCCTCCTCAACCATTACAACCTTTCTCGGTCATCATGACTACATGACCTCAAATATAATAACAAACAACGAACAAATGAATAATAGAAACCAAATACTGAAAATAAAATATATATGATACATGGAAACTAATGCTTGATGTGATATTTCTGACAAAAATAAATACAAAACTTTCATAAAAAATGCTCAACTTCAACAAATTTGAAGTTCATTACTTTAGCATATGTATTCATCAAACAAATATAAATTGAAATTCTAAGCCTCATATGGTAACTCATGAACTAGCATAATCAAGTTCATCTTGTCAATGTACAAGTTGTGGCTGAAATCTAGCATCCATAATGGATACAATATCATCCATAATGGATATAAGTTATGCATAAGTATCTAACAGAGAATTGAATATTGACTCACAATGAAGAGGTGGAAAGAGTAGAATTTCACTAATTGACAATCGAGTCATTAAATAAGGTCTCATACAAATTAAAAAACTAAATGTTTAGTTTCATGAAATTTCTAATTTGCAGGCATTAGTTTCAATGTGTTGCACAAATTTTAAATGCAGTTGCCTTTTTTTCTTATAACTTCTTAAAAAAAGGCAGTTAGAAATATTTATGAAATTAAATGTATAATGACATTATCACCTAGCTTAAATTCTACGTAAATTTTGTTTGCATCAACATAAAGGTTATAATTGTCCGGATCAATATTAATTATCTATGAATAGGGGAATTGATAAATGACTCGACACGAGATCATACTCGAATTATTCTAGTTCGAGTTGACTCAATCACTCTTCGGGTTGGGTTTGTGTAGAACTGAATAACAAGAATCAACTCAAAATTGGCCAACTTTCCATTCTAGTTTTGGATTTGAAAAGCTAAAATACATTGTTAAAATATTCATGTATATTCTTCGGTTAAAAAGGACACATTTGACTTAGTTGGGTCATGTTGATACAAACAATATAGGATCCATAAAATAAACGAGTTAGTTAATTTCAAGTTAAACATTTTGACCTGAACAATAAACATGTCAGGTTCGGGTCAAGCATATTCGGATTAAGTCAACTTCAAGTCAATCATGAACCTAAACCATCAACCCAAATTGGCACCCCTATCAATGAATAACTTCAAATAATCCATGCAAATCAAGTAAATGACCAAAATGATATCCAGGCAAGTTATGAAAACACTACAAAAATAATATGATTCATTATATAAAATACTAATGATTCATTATTTGGAATACTAAAAATGGCCTATAACTAAATCCCCAAAAAAAAAGACAAATCACACAACTATGATATATATATATATATATATGGACATACAGCCTCTTCTACAAAAATAACCCAACTGATTTAAATATAAATTGTGAATGAATTGAACACTTTCTGTATTGATAAATATATAAAAAATTAAATTTTAGTTCATTTACCATAAATCATCTAAACAAATCAACAAAGAATTTGTCAAAAGATGTATTTTTAGACAACTCATTTGATTCATCATTAAGTAATACAAAGGTTAAGGATTCTGAGGTAGCTTGTGTCATTAATGCATTAGTAAAAAAGATGAGAGAAGTTTATTCATTAGTTGGCAATTTTCTATTTCATGGGTTATATTTATGACATTTGGGTAATGTTGATCGCCTTACATTCTATAGTAGCTTTTCGTGAATTTTTAGGCAATGCTTCTATGTTACTCTACTACTGCTTTTTGTGAGTTTTCGAAAGTGATGCTTCTTGATGTGATACTTACAAATAATTTAAGTACTAATGCTTCTTCGTTTAATTTACATAAATCTACGTAGAGCATTTTTATTGGTTATTGCTACTGTTGGCTGTGATTTTTTTCATGCCTACTAATGCCATAACTTCTCCTGGGATGTATGAATTTTCCCTCTTTTTGTTGCAAATGTGAATTGTTAGTAAATTTAAAGCTAAAGTTGACAATATGAGAAAGTGAGTATTATATGAGAAACGAAAACGTGATGAAGACAAAGGAAGCGTGAGAAAGCTACTGCGCAAGTGAGGTATCATGTGTATGCGAATGCGTAATGTGGGCAGAACGCGCAACCATGAACATAAGCACAAGAACAAGCAAATGTTGCAGGTGAAGAATCCTACAGAATTAGTGAGTGCCGGATTTTGAGATCAAGATTTTTTTTTGCCGGTAAACAATTATATAAACAAGAAGCGAAACCAATCTCCATCAAATTTTGCACTTTTTCAAACTTGTTGGCTCTGATTGATCCAATACTTAAGCATTAAAGTAATCAAGAATAATCAGATGATCCAAGAGTATGGGAAGCAGCTGTGGCAGGAAAGTATGGCTGAGCTCAGAAGTTATTCACTCCCTTTCCTTTCTCCATGCGTAAGTTTCATCTCAAAAAAGTTGTGGTTTGCTGTCCAGTAAGTTGAACACTTTTACGGACATATTTTAGACAATTGAATGCCTGTACAGATGCTTTATCCAACCTTTCTTAATTTTTGATTATTTCCCAAAACAGAGAATGTAAAAGGAAAAGACACGGAAGTAACACAATAAGGGGGATAGAGAGAGAGACAGTGAGAATAAAGAGTTAGGAGAGACCCCGAATTTGATTTTCATTGCATCTGAAGGGACACATTTATATAATACAAAAGAGAAATTCAAGTCTTGACCAATAGAAAGAATCAAGAAGTAAAAATCTCATTAAAATTTTGGAGTTTAAACTAACTTTCTTAAATGAAGAAGATAACTTCTCAAATTTTGAAAATCAAAACTTCCTTAAATCAAGGAGGGAACATCTCCGAAAAATTCATTCTAACCAGCATCCATAGATTCTAACTATTTTTATCCTAAATACAATGACTAATTATATCTTTACCCTAAAATCTAGGAATGGATAAGAATGTTACCAATTTAATCCAATTCTTCTAAACACCACTTTCATCCAAATCTCTTTAGGTTGCACATTTGATGCTGATTCCCTTACCAGACTCCAAAATTTTTTCTTCCCTAACTATAAATCTTATAAGAATGTACAAAAGCATTAAAATTCAAAAAAAAAGATTAAAAATAAAACCAAAAAAGAGAATGGTATTATTTAGCAGAACAAGTTAGCAGGTTTAAAGAGAAATTCAACCTCACCGCTTGGACCTTTTACAATATTTGAGACAAACTATAATAGGGAAAAATATTTAGGAGCATGAAACTTTTATAAAAATAAGCACGAAATTGAAACATAAGGAAAGCTTGTAGAAGAAATTGGAAAAAAAAAGGCGTAATGGAAGTAGGGGTGTAAGCGAGTCAAGCTAGCTCGTGAGCCACACCTCATCCAGCTGCGAGCTCAAGCTCGAGCTCGTGTATTAAACAAGCTCAAGTTCGAGCTTGACGAGACTCAGCTCGCGAGTCGGTTCGTCTAATATATTTATTCAATTTTTTTTCTTATTGTATTATTGTTTTTTAAATTATGTATTAATTAACTTACTGTAAAAAATTTTCTTGTGAAACTATAAAGCTATAAACTAATAAAAACAAATATAAAAAATGCAACTTTTTAAAATAATTTAAAAAATTGCATCACCTATTCAAAAAAAGTACTTGCAGTCACATCAATTTTAATACCCGAAAGAAATTCTCTTCTTCTTCTCTATGAGCTCAATCAAGAATGCTCCGGACTTCTCATTTGCACCCACATGCGTGCATCCTTCTCTCGCTACATCACGCACCTTCTTCCTCTCCAACGATGGTCGAGACTCTACGGTCACGAGCTGGCTCGTGAGCCCACCTTTCGAACAACGAGCCGAGCTCAAGTTCAACCTTTGCGCTTGGCATGAGCTCGAGTTCGAGCTTGGGATTTGGCCAGTCAGTCGAGCTCGATTTAGGTATGACTCATGCTTGACTCAACTCATGTACACCTCCAAAATTGATGCAATCTAGGTTCTAAAATAAGTAGGAGATCACTAGGAATGCAATTGACAAAGCTCACTTTCAATATAACATAAAATACACAAATATTGAAAACTAAGTAGGAAACGAAACTTAGAAAATTGATAAGAAAGCACACAAAATAACCAAACAACTAAATTAAAATACCCTCAGAACAACCTTGTAACGTCACCTCACATGCAAATCACAAAAATAGAGAATGATGCACAAAGGAAAAATCAAACCAGTGGTTCGCCACAAAAAATATAATCCAGCTCAAGTCGGCGCTCCTCCTGTAAATACAAACAAATGGGGCACAACAACACCTTACACTCACAATATTTGGAGAAGAAAGATACAAGTGGAAGGGAAACTATGGAGAGAAGAAATAGATAGAAGTCCGAGAAGAAGAAATGGGTGTAGGAAGAAGATAACTCTCAAGTTAGGAAGAAACCCTCAGGTTTGGATTTGTTTTGACCCACAACAACCTTTTCCAGTAGCAAATCAACCATATTATATAGGAGAAGAATGCCATAATTGTCCACTTAAATGTGCCACCCAAATAGCCAATAGAAGCCAATCAAGACAACCATTTAATGGGGAGATAAAACACTAGTCTAGGAATCAACAAGGAGGGGAGTTGAACGACTAGTAGCAGGGAAACCGAAGCCAGCATGGAAAACCAAAAGCAGAGAAACTAAAACCTGCATGGGGAACAACAAGCAACCAGCCAACATGGGAAGAAATGGGCCAAAAGTCCAATAAGGAAACACAACCCAAAATTAAATACCCATTTAGCCACCAAGGAGCAAGGAAGCAAATTCAACATAAGTGGAAAGCCAATGGAGTGGAATTACCTAAGAGCATCAAACCCAAGCATGATCATAGGTTGATTTCCATCATTGGGCAACATAAAAATAACATATAAAAAAATATAGTCCAAAATTACATAGCATCCAAATCTAGGAACATAAAATAAAAAATATAAAATGATAATCCTTGATTGTATCATAAATAAAAGGCACAAGAACTTTGCCAATATAAGGATGTTATAATATACTGAAAAACATGCCTGAGGACTATTCTTAATAATAAGTGCAATAATCTAAGAACAAAAACATCTAGGATTAGTTTTAACAAGCTTGGATTCATATTTCATAAACAACAAAAATCCTAGTTTTTTGTGCAAGAGCAGTAACACAAATTTGTTCACATCAAAATATTAAATATAAAATTAGAAGTTGATTACTATGATGTAGGGCTACCCACATACTTCTTACAAAAAGAGGAAAAATAGCTTTATATTAGGCCGTGATGATAGTGCTACTTGTATCACCCTAACAAAGCTATGCGCTGTGAGTTGTTGCAAATCAATTCCTTAACCATATTTCATTGGAATACCAAACAAACGGTCATAAATTTGAGTAGAGGTAGCACCAAGAGTTAACTGATTTTAGACTATTGGATATGATAAGAAAACAGTTAGAATACAGGCCATAACATTTAAACTAAGAAATTTAATGAAGATAGATATGCAAAAGCTAAACAAATTTGTTCATCATATCAGTCTTCTCGGTAATTTACTCCAAAATAGATGCAAGATGCATATGCTAAGACTTGAGTAGATCAAGAATATATAAAAGTATACCTGAAATATGAGAGGATAAATGGGACTTCCGAGCCCGTCCATGTCCACCGTCTTCATCTTCCTTAGAGCTCGTCTCACTCAAACTCTCCGTTTCAGTATCATTACCTGACACCCTTTAGCCAACAAAAACAAGTTTAAACTTCTTCAATGCAAGATTTGCAGAAAAAATAAGATCTATTCAATATTTCATATGCAAAACTCCATAAACATAAATAGGGTTGCCAAACCAGGTTGATGGTAAAGGCTCTATCAACCAATTCAAGTCTTAACCCATTTATTCTCAAACCAAATGTAAATTTTATCAACCTATTCAAGCCTTAACCCAGAATTGACCAACTATTTACTTATGAGTAGCGTTACATGCAAAACATGTCAGATTCTCAAGTCATAATTTACTGTTGGTTCAGTGAGTCATTATCACATCCCCTGCTCACAAACCTTCATTTGCTCAGGTCTGTTGATTTTAATCAAGTCTCTTAACTGAAAATCTTCAACCTCAAGCCCCCTCCGGCAGAAAAAAATAAATTATAACAACAGTGATTCCCCTCTCATATTTGCAAAGGTCAAAGACAAGTAAACAACACAAACATATATTATCATTAAGTTTATCATATATATATATGTATATATAGAAGAGCAAGAGGTCACCTCTAGCCGCAGGTTCACGAAAATCCTAACAAAGAATACTATTAGAGTAAAATATGAAAATGTCAAAACACTTGGACCAACTGATCACTGTCAACAGCTTGCACCTCTAGGAATTCTACACAGCCAAACAAAAAGGAACAGCAAAGAAAAAATACACCAAATCTAGAAAAATTTTAAACAACAAAGTTCATCAAATTACTTTAACGTAAAGGGCATTCAAACAAGTAATTTTAGGATAATAACATTTTGGATGGAAGAAATATAATTTCATCAAAGGAAAAACTATTAACAACATTCGCAACAAGTAAAAAATTATAAAACAAAAATAGGGAAAATTATAAAAAAGCACAGCAACTAACCTTCTTGATTTGCGTCTTGATCTTTTGGCACGCCTTCTCCGTCTTTTCTCACGCTTCTTATCTCTTTTTCTTTTTGCACGCTTGTACTTGTCACGCCTTGAATATTTTTTCCTTCTCCTGTATCTCTCATCACTTGAACTACTAATATCACTTGAAGATGAGTAAGAATCTGTCTCACTATCAGTCTCTGAAGGTTCAGTGTCGGAATCAGATGAACTGTCAGATTCTGAAGAATAGTGTCGTCTTCTTTTCCTTTTTTTTCTCCCTTTGTTAGACTTCTTATGCTTCCTCTTCCGCTTTCCTTCATCAGAATCACCATCAGAAGACCCATCCTTGCCCGACTTGGACTTGCTCTTCTTTTTGTCTAAGTGTTGTATAAAGTAAAAAAGGATAATTCAAGGGAAAAGATCACCAAACAATACAATTACAAGAATAATGAAAAAGTTCACATAAAAGAATCACTCATTATATCCGTGGGTGTCAAGCGTCATCATAAATAGCATATATAAGCCAAATAAAAGATTACACTAAGCGACTTTAAAAAAATCAGTAGCTATTCATGGTTAAAAATATTAACGAGATAAAAAAAAAAAAGTCAATTAAACCAACGTGATAGATGAAAGATGAAATAATATTATTACTTACCATTTTCAGTCAGTGTTCCTTGAAGTTTTCCATCGTGCAACTCACCGCAATCAACTATCTTTACTGGAACACAAGGTCTACTATCATCAACTTCAACACGCTCCATCTTTTTCAAAACTTCATGTCCCTTGATGAGCTTTCCAAAGACAACATGCTTCCTATAAAAAGGGCAAGAAAAACAGGCTTAAAAAATCAATAACTCAAATGATGACAGAAGATATTACATTGGGGCTGTTTAAAACCAGGGTTTAAACAAAGATTTCAGTCAAACCTTGCAAAACAGTAAATAATGAAGAACTTAAATCCTACATAATGTTAAATCCCATTCTCCCTCATTTTATCATAAAACCCAAATTTAATAAATCTGGGGACTTGACAAATTTAATTTAAATCCATGGTGTCTCTTCCAATCGGGTATAGAAAAGAAAGATATATGGGGCGGTCAACTTAAAGACATGAAATAAAGCAACGACATGATCAATGTGCTAGACAGAAGTAATGACGAGTGGAAAGATCAGATCTCAGAGATGAAAAAGAAGTACAAGACGAGTGATGATTTTGGCGTGGAGGAAAGTTGGGAATGCGGAAATCAAAAAAGGACTAGCAACTTGGGTAGGCAACCTCAAATGGAAAGGATTTGGAGAGGAGAAGCAAACAGAATGCGCCAAGTCCAAGCCAGGGCATGCGAATGTTAGAGGAGAAAAGCACAAGGAATAATAGCTTCAATAATAATTGAGAAAAGGTAAAGTTTATATTGAATTCACAGCTTTTGTCAAACAATTTATCAAGAACAAGCCAAATTAAACATCTATAATTCCAAATACATGCAATAAGTATCTCAAATATGTTGAACAATACATTTAAAAAAGTGATTAATGCAATCCCAATATTTTGTGCAAAATAAATAAATCCACATTGAAGTGATGTACCAAGTAGGTGTAATATAAGTCCCTTAAAACATCCCAAAATTAAGAGATGTAATGTGACCCATTAGGACACAAACCAGAATAATTTGAATTTTAAAGGCGGGCTAGTGACCGAGAAGTGCAGCAGGGAGGTTACTTTTTTTAAAGAATCCTAGGTCTTCCCATTCAAATGTCTGTGCACTTTTCTAACAACAGATTAATTTTCAATATTCCTTTCTAGAACAGGATTTAAAATTACTTTTCCATCTTAAGAAAATCTCTAAAAACTATCAATCATCTATGGTCAGAGGTATGTATTCTGCATAAAGTCGAAACTAAAGTTTTCAATCTTTCATTTGGTACCAAGCCAAGTAAAATCCAACTTATATTAGATCGCAAATGAAAATTGATATCAAATAGAAATCATTTTGACATGTAATTAATAGTACAAAAATGGCGCCATGTATTATTATGGACCTCAACCTATTCCAGAGATTGCAGCATATTTCAGATGGAATATCTCATCATAAGTTTTCTTGGATATTCATGTTGTGTAGGTTTTTTATGATTTTATCTCGCAAACTTATTATATCACGATATCATTTCAAATGGATCATATGATTTCTTTCCAAGAATTTTTTTGGTCAGCAGGGCCTTTCTCTAAATTTAAAGCTGCCGTTGCAATTGGCTATTTTGCACGAGGATACATTAAGTAACTTTCATTTGAGATTTGAAGTACGTGTTATTAATACTTGCACAAATTTTTTTACCATAGTTATCTAATCCAGTATAGAAATGTAAGTGTGGCAGAGATGAGGATGCTCAGGTGGATGAGTGGCTTTACTCTTAGAGATAGGATACGAAATGAGCATATATGTGAAAAGGTTGGAGTAGCTCCAGTAGAAGATAAGATTAGAGAAAGTCGCCTTAGATGGTTTGGTCACATAAAACGGCGGCCTTGCGATGACCCGGTTAGGAGAGTAGAGGTATTAGATTTGACTTATGTTAAGAAAGGTAGGGGTAGACCTAAAAAGACTTGGTTAGAAAATATTAGGAATAACCTTTCTTTATTAGATTTAAACGAGAATTTGACTTTTAATAGGACACAATGGAGAAAAAGGATTCATGTAGCCGACCCCACGTAGTGGGATAAAGGCTTGATGTTGTAGTTATCTAATCCAGTGAATTACATCTGCAATTTGACCAATTTTCAAGAAACGGACTTCGCATGGCTTTGAATCATCGTAATCTGTGAATGATGTTCATTCAATTATCTGTTTAATTTGTTGTGGTTGTGATATTTTTTAAATATGGGGATGCATTTCAGGATAAATAAATTAATGAAATTATGCATTTCCTACAACATCCGTTGATTCTGGCATAGTTGTAATGGCAATTATTATAGAAAGTCTTTTTCATGATTAATTAACTATTATAAGGCATGCTTTCTTTTATTTTCCTTCTTAAAGGTAATTTAGTAACTAAAAGGTCAAGTGTTATTTGGCATAACATATTCATATAAAGGACTTCCTAAAGAGAGAAGAGGAGAATTCTTTGTGAGTTTCTTTTTCAGCTCATCCTGAAGTTCGGAAAGGGTTTTCTTGTTTTAGAGTGGACTCAGGTCTGGAGAGGTTAGGAGGAAAGGAGATCATACTGGAGTCCAGGACCCCACAATAATTAATCATCGAAACTTCAGGAAGCTTCTTTGACAAATGTCCAGGATGTTTTATGGTGGATTCTTGCAACTGACCAGACTGCCAAAACCACTAGAGGCCTAAAATCCCTTACGTTTCTGTCAACGACCGGAAATAATGTTCCTGGACTTTAGGGCGTCAAAAGGTAAGAATATTGAAAGGATGTGATGCACCAACACTTCTCCTCAATGAGATATGCAGTCTTCTTGGACACGCCACGCCTCCAATACATATCGGACACATCTCTAATTAAAAAAATATTAAAAATAAATTGGACACACGTGTCTTAAATATTTTATAAAATTTTTTAATATAATTTCTTATATTTCAATTTTTTTATTAAGAAATAAAAAACTTGTTTTTCATTTCCTCTCAACAATCCAAATCAATTGTCCGCACTCAATGCCCCATTCCCCAAACATACCATTTTCGTAGAATGTAAGAAAATATTGAATTTACATAGTATAACCGCCCTAATTTATATGTAGAATCTTTATTTAGGTGCGGGCTTATGGATTAAATTTGCATCTATTGAGCATTTTGATGTAATGTGCATCCCTTATACATCCCTAAATTTAGGGATTCAATGTGATTTATTAAGACGCATTAGAAATAATTTGAATTTAAGTCTCCACTAGGCAACTATCAACTTGATGATAAGAATGCAGAAAGTTATTTTAAAAGAGTCCAACAACAATCGGTTTGTTTTCCATCAAGCGATCAGTTTTTTGGATTCATATGGCAATATTTACGTTTCAAAAGGAAAATTTTAAATATTCTTTATCATCTATACCAAGAAATATGTTTTAACTTGAAAGTTCATTTCAAATTTTTCGATTTTTCATAAGTTCCTTATGACTAATGATTTTGTGTATCTTCATCCTCATGGAAAAAGTCACCGATTAATACAAAAAATGTTCACATTACTCAGGAAAAGCTTTCAAACATAATAATCTATGAAAACTTAAGACTGCTTAGAGCTCAAAAACAACTGAACAGAAGGGAAAACACATAAAATATTAGTAAATAATGTCATATTAAAGAAGAAATCTGAAAGACGACTACAATTCAGAAACCATGTTTTAATGCATCCCATAAAAAGGAGATAAGAGACTCCCAGTTTAAGTCAGTAAAAGTAGAACCGATTTTAAAAGCCATTGCAAATTGAAACTGATAATAAACCTGATATTCCATTTATGCAGCAAATCCAAACAGACACAGACATGATATTAGATATAAGAAAAAAAAGTAAGAACAGTAATCAGAAACAAACCCATCAAGGTGGGGAGTGGCCTTAAAAGTGATAAAAAACTGGGAACCATTTGTGTCACGTCCAGCATTTGCCATTGATAGAAGTCCTGGACCATCATGGCGCAGAACAAAATTTTCATCTGCAAATTAATCAAAAACATACAGATTAGAAGAAGAAAAATTGAGACGCTACTTCAGCAATCATTTTTGCAATACTGCAAAAAGAATGGAACAAAATTTGGAAATGAGGATATTCAAAAAATATTCATATACTCATAATTACTTGCAGAACTATTGCTAAGGTGTTCGTCAAAGATATATGCATCGAAATACATTTAACATGACTAAAATTCTCAGTGCATGCCGGATTTTAAACCGCAATTTAAGAGCATTTCTTGATACTAAAGAATAAGCAGTACAAAAAAGGAGCTATTTTTAAGAAATACTTTAAGGAAAAACAATAACATACATTGACAATATTTTTAACCATTCTTTCAAGTTAATCCTCCAAAAAAGCGCTAGAGTTGCTAAATTTTCCATAAGATGCATGAATTGTGAGCTACAACTTGTATAAGTGATTTAATAAAGATAGAAACAGTTAAAACAGAAAGTAAAACCAATGTAATTCAGCACAATAAAATAGGGTAACGGAAAATAAAGTAAAAACTGGTTTGCAAACCACAGTCAGCTAGAGGAATACATCAACATATAGAAATGAACCAGGAATATGCAGCACCCATTAAGAAAGTCAAGGATCTGGAAACTGAAAGTATCAAGTTTTCTTCAACCATTTGAATTAAATAGAAAAATTACAGACTTTCAAACAAGACAAGTAAAACCTGATTCACTAATTCTACCAAGTGACAAATTGGATCAATGCAAGATCAGTTCAATAAAGAAGAATGTGAAATTATAGCTTATCATCATCAACACTATAGTGGTATGATAAGCCTCCAAAATCCCATAATGGGTGCCAAGCAAGGGACATCAGTTCTTTTTTTCTAATTATCTCCAAAGGACATCAAGTTTATGTAAATATTAAATAGATCGGGGAAATCAACGGAAAATATGCTGCAATTTTATCCATAGAACTTCAACTTTATGTTGATGTACACATAACAAAGATTGTAAAGAGTAACAGAACATCTAAAACTAAAACTGTTGTACATCTCAAACTTTAAGAAATTTACCCAAACAACAAAAGTTTGAGGCCAGCAAATTTAAAAAGATATCATTTTTTGGGATAAAATTATTCCAGGTAAAATAAAGGGAAGAATCATTAAAAAAATTATATTTTCCATTGTGTCCAAACAATTTTTAAACAAAAGTTTCAACACTGAAAACAAAACCCAAATGAATAATTAAAATAAAAATGAACCATAAAATGAAAGGTATTACACTTTTTCAAGAGCAAGATCCTTGAAAACACAAAAGCTAGAAGCCCTTTCCAAAGAAAGGTATATAAATAGTTTATTGCTACCTTTAACCCCAATTTTAAGATTGACAACCTAGTAATACAGAAAATGGACCCGTAAACTAGAGCATAGAGCTCATTACTATCTTGAACTCCAAATTTAAGCTCTTTAATGTAAGAACTGAGATAGACCCTTAAACACACTAGCATATAATATTGTCATGCATAGAAATGTACAGCAATAGTTATAGAAGATTACCATATTTTCAAAAGCCTGACTTTCAAAAGCCTTTGATTGGATCCAACAACAGAGGTAGGTTGATTCAGTAATAGTTGGTCATATAAAATTCAAGGCCTAAGTAAACCAAGTATCAAAGAAATAAATAATGTCAAATCAACTACCAAAGAAAGCAATCCCCACAAACCACAAAATTATTGAAGACTTTTATATCTTCCGGGTATTAAATGTCACCTAAATTATGAATAAAGGTTTGAAATAACAAAAAACATATGAGGAAGCTCATCAGGACTTGCTTTCAATAGGGAAAACATTGCATTTGAAACTCTCCCAGGCTATGTACTCAAAGAAAAAGAAAAATGTTTAATCAGAAGGGAATAAAATATTGTTTTGGAGAAATGAATCAATTTCCAGAACTAAAACCATACATTATCAAGCTCTACTAATGACAAACAAGACCCAGCACACAATAGCGGAAGCATCCATTTTTCACAAAGAAAGCAGAACACAATAAATCAATACGCAAAAGTAAACCAAAACTGAATATTGAAACTAGCCCGCATCACAAATTGCATTAACAGAACACAATACTGAAAACTGAGTAGCCAATTTAACTTCACAATTACCTGCAAATTTTCCACCATAGATGCTCTCTCCACCAGTTCCTGAAAGCATGGAAAAGTTGTAAGCATAATAATAAATGAAAGATGAAATCATTCTAAAGATGTAAAATAATAACAGCAGAGAGAGCACAGAATGAAGATGACACAACGCTAGAACTTAAACTAAAACCACAACAGGACATGTAGAAATCACTAAACCCTCCCACAAAAAGGGCGGACAAACAAAAAAACCCTATATGCTTCAGGCTGAATAAAATGAGATGAAAAGCTTAGGAAACATGGTTGACGTGACAATCATCAACATCAAGATTAGCCAGATCCCAAGTATTTGTGAGTGGCTTCATTAATCCTTCTTCTCCATTCATTTATATAAATTCTCATGTTCAAGTAATGTTTGTAATTATTTATTCACAACTAACAATAAAATTAAGTATGCACTTTTACATGCTCTAATTTTCCACACTAATTCTACCAGCCCATCTTATTTATAAATTTTCAGCTCCCATGGAACATCCCAAACCAAGTTTATTTTCTACAACATTTTCTTTGATAACTGCTACTCTAACAACCTCCCTAAGTACTCTTCTCTACCAAGATGTACATCACTCACATAAACAAAATCACAGCAGATATCTCTAAATTAAAAATTCCTTAGAAAATGTGCTACCATGTACCATCATATTTCTAAATAGGTTCAAAACATGGATTAAAAAAATCATGATAAACCAGCCCTCTGAGGACTAAAATTAATAGGAATCAATGTGGTAACGATTAAATTTAGGTTCATTGGTATGTAAAATGACTAGCCATTAGGTTCATTGCTATGTAAAATGATTAACCATTAGGTTCATTGGTAGGTAAATAGGTTAAAGAATGTTTGCACGAGCATAACACTAATGACTGAAATTGAATCACCGGGAATTAAAATCTCAAAAGTTCAGAGGTTAAAATGAATACTCCCAACTGGAGTTGGAGTAATAGAAAACAGATTCAAGATTACCTGATGTTATTTGACTTTTGAAAAGAACATTTTGGAAAATCAAAGGCTAAAATTAGAATTTAAAAAAAAAGTTTTGGAGGATTTAACTCACTCTTTTGAGCGTAAAATGGTATGCAAGCAGAAATAACTTGGATTAAAAAACAATTTTTTACCCATATGATTCACATACTTTCACTGAGTTCCTTGAAAGGGCCAAAACTGTGGATTAGAAATTGATGCTGATGACGGAATACATTTTTTTACCTCCAAACGAATTGATTCGGACTAGATGATGTCCTTTTAGGAGAAATAGGATATTGAACTGGATTTATTCATGCATAAATAGGATTGTAAATGAGCATGTTTATTTATCTGAGTTCGAGATAAGTTTGAATGAGAATTCAGTTTTAAAATCTTGTTTATTTATTTTAAAATGGGGATCAGGCCAAAATCAAACTTTATTCAAGCCAAGATAATTCTATATTAGATCCTAATGATTTAAACATATAGCCCAAATGTTAAAAAACATTAGAATTATAGATTTTACTTAAATCGGCATAATTCATTAAGTAATAATTAAATTGTTTAGTGAAGTTTAAATATTAAAGAGGAAATTTATAAATCTATATCTCTAGCCATTTATTAGATCATTATATCATACCTATATTTCTAATAATTTACATAATTTTTTTAATTATTTTTTTTAATAATTTAAATAATTTGTTAAGAGTATAAGATATAAGAAAACTGATACAATAATATATAATAAATTCCAAATAAGTCACTAAATCAAAATTTTATTAAGTAGTTGTTAAACAACAAACAAGCATATTCACAAACAGAAATGAACAAACAAAATAATATTAAATTTATTTGTTCATATGACCAACTTTTACAAATTATTCAAACTTGTTCACATAAATAAGAAATGAACATAAATAAGCCTTAAACAAAATATTATCGAGTTTCTTATCAAGTGCACCGTATCACATACAAACTTATACACATCTATATATAGGTTGGTAACTTGCAAAGAAAGATGAAAAGGGTTTGAACAATTATTATTTCTTAAATTTTTAGTGATTACAAAATTGACAAGCACTATATACCTTTCATAGTCTATGTTCACTCACATTTACTAGCCTTGACTAACACGTGTTATCTTTATGTTGATGGAATATTTAATCAATTCTTTGGGCAATATTGGGCAATACTACAATAGGTTCGCAATTTTATGATAGTTTCTGAGTAGCATCTGATAATGAAATTAAAAAAACTCACAAAACAAAACAAATCATTATTTGACCTTCATTAGAATTCACAATAGCAACCTATTTCCCTTCTACTTATATTTCTACCCAAATAGAAGGGCTGATGCCGGATATGGAATCTTTGTGTACAATTCAAAGAGAAAAAAAAACAAATTTAGATTATTTTCAGGGCATAGCTTTATGATTGTGATATAAAGAGTAGAACAAAGAAAAAACAAGAAGAATTCACAGTAAATTGCTTCTTTTCCCTTCAAGATGCTCCATGGAAGAAATATCATAACTATGACTTCCCTGCTAAAAACTGAATTACTTCAACAAAAATGTGCCACAAAACAACGCAATCAATGCTCAAAGTACAAACAAATCAACAATGCCATCAAAATAAACATGATAATAGATAAAATGGCCCATACAGGTGAAGAGGTAGATCATCTTTGAAACATTAAAAAAAGGTAAAACGCTCAACAATAAGGTGGAGGACAAAAAGAAGCAGATAGCATACCATCTCGTTTTGAAAAATCTCCTCCCTGCAAAATACAACAATATATCAGATAATTTTAAAGAAAGAACTCTAATGTAACCAAATATGTCTTGGCTAGTGATAACACAGTGAAATAACATAGATAATATAGCAAATCACAACCTTAATTACTAAAACCCAAGAAAAGAGGCCCTGACCATCATTCCTGTATCCTACATCATAAACATGACAAACTGACTAATATATAAAATGGTTGCATCTAATTCTAGGCAAATGATGAGAATATGCCAACAATCACTCATTGTACTAAGAACTTATTAAAAAAGCACCAGAATAACATACCTGTGCCATGAATCCTCGAATAATACGATGAAAGATTGATCCTTTATAATGAAGCGGTTTCCCTGTTGTACGGCCCACACCCATTTCACCTATGATCAAACAAAATAAATGGATCACATATGATTATTATGTCAACAAGGACATAATCAGATCAGAGTTCATTGAATGTTACAGGAACATTAATACAGCTACAAATTACAAAATAAAGTAACATTCCGAGTTTACATAAAGCAAAGAATAAAATTTCAAAAAAATGAGTATATCCTGTATGAAAGCTTTCAATAGTTTAAAACGACACCACTTCACATCAATTCACTATCAGTAACATACTTTAAATGGGATTTCAATTTTTATTAGCAGAATTCATCTCAGTCATGCACTTATAACAGCTTGTCAAGTCGCAGACGTTAAAAAACCATGCTTTAAATAACATTAAGGTACCTCAAATTATTTCATGGAATTATTGAGAATAATAAAAAAAAAATCATTTTAAAGTAATATTATGGCACAATTTATACATCAATAAACATTGTAAATACGTAAAAGTTTGGTGCCAGACGTATATAGAGTATAATTTGGAGAAATTATTGAATCAAAACAACAAAATAGGATTACTAAAAAAATTACTTGAATGAATTCAATAAGAAAATGATTGAGACATAATTTATAGAAAAGAACATAATAGAAAGCCAAAAGAGTAAATCAGCCCACAACAAAGATCAAATTAGGACAATTGGCAATAGATCTCAAAGTGATCAAGTAACCCAGCGTAAGATCAACTCTAAGTCATTCAATGTGATCTCGATCCCAGCCAAGCTTGAGAAAGGTTGGCTTGATATGCATGAACACGCATTAATTCAAATTAAAATAAATGCACATGCATATACATTTTAACTCAATTTCGAGCTAGCTAAACTTGATCAAGGCTCGGCCAAATTCAAGTTAGGTCTAACTCAGGTTTAGCTCATCAATCAGCTCATAGACTTAGATCCTACCTCAACCTAAGCCAAAATTGATCCAATTAATAAAACTTTGAACAAAACTCACAACACTACCTCAAAAGATAGAATGGGATCATTTTCACAGTTGAACAACTTAGGAGAACAACCATTAACAATAAAGGTTCCAAAAAAAATCAAAACTAATATTTTTATCAAAATTAGGAAAAACAAACTAGCCTCAACTCTCACCCAATTTTGAATTGTTAAAACAAGAACTTTATGTAAGGGTAACTTCCCCTGCTAAAAAAGGAGAGAGCGAAGGAGGGATGACATCAAAAAAAAGGAATAAGAATTAGCTGAGGATGATTATAATGAGAACAAACACATATATAGATATAGTCAAGTAAAAACAAACTAGCCTCAACTCAAAGAAAAAAAAATCCATTTGTTTACCCAAGCTGAGTTCAAATCTAATTAGAAATGATAGAATTCACCCACAATTCCAACCTTCGAGTTAAATCTATTAATTTTTCAAAATATTTTAAATTATTAACTAGGATATATATATATATATATATCCTATGAAATTATTAGCAAAAAGGTTTGCATATGAATATGAAATATAATAAAAGTATATTTGTGTGAGTTTGCATGTAAATAAATCATATATTGATTTGGTTTCAAGTTGAATCAAAATAACTTCGAGTGAGTCATGTGCAAGTTTGGGCAAAACTATTTCAATTTTGGATTGATTAAAATTCCAGCAATTGTTAACGGGCTTCAAGTTTTTGAAATAATTATCAACCATAATAATTAAGAAAATGGCAACAACTAAACTTCCTTCTTTCCATGACTGAACCAATAAAGATTGCAAAGCAAGATACTTTCAATAAAATGTTTGCTTAGTGTTTATGGAACTACATAAACACAAATTGCATCAACATTTCTAGTGAACTTTTGGCAACATAATAAAGAACCAAATCAAGTTTGAAAAACAAAAATTCACTAGTAAAAGGCTCATAATTAAAGTGGCTTTAATATGTTAAGTAAAAGGATTAATCATTATACAATATTGTAGTCATATACCACAAGAAAACCCCTAGTTAAATGACTTGCATGACAAGAATGAAAAGAAGGTGTTAAGAAACAATTACCTGTGCAAAGAGCACGAAAGTTTTCGGACGTCTTGGGGGCAACATCATAGAAGAGCTACAAGCCATCAAATAGTTCAAGTAAGAATCTTTCAAAACACAATGTAGATGAATCTGATCAAGCAAAGAACATGTGCACTTTTGCCTTTTTCATAGTTTCAAATTGATTTCAAGCCTTTGTCGTAGACTATATGAAGCATTCTTACTTGTTAAACATAAAGCTACCAAGCAACCATAAGGCTAACAGGAGCTCTATATGTACAGATGCCAATGCAATTAATCATCTTGAATAACTATTCATTTATTTGGAATTTAAGATTCAATGGTTAATCCTAAAAATATAGTGAAAATGTACCTCAAAGACCATTCTTCTGGGAGATCCGCCATCAAAAGATATGTCAAAGAAGACAAACTGATTTTTTGCCTTTGCCATTATCAAAGCCTAAACTCATGCAAACTCTTCAAACGACTTGCACCAAATGGAATTAGCCTGCAAAATTTTACAAGACTATATTTAACACAAATGCCTTCCAAAATAGTTCATGAATGATTGTACAAATCATAGATGGTCAAAAATAAAGAAATTGATAATTATTTTCATTTATAATTGAGGAATTAACTCTGCTATCAACCTTGTATGAAATTGTACACAAGGATATAAACAATGATAGTTCGCAGCTAATTCTCCACAAAAAGCAAGCTATAACCACAAACAAAAGACAAGCGTGGAAAAACCCACGTTACTTTATATTAATTTTGAATAAATAAAGCATCCCAACCAAGCAGAAAGGCAGAACAAAGTAATTTTGAAAATACATAACGAAAAACATATAGTATGCATATGAAACAACTAAAAATCACGCTAAAGAAGAGATCAAGAGCTCACGGATCGGAAAAACACGTGTAAGGCAAATAAATAAAGCTAAGGTGGAAGAAAACGCTAATCCCTATCAAAATGCCAAAAACCATACCGCGCAAGGGGATCATCATGGCTGTCCACAGAAACTCTAAACCTAACAACGAAGAACGCAATCAAGAAAGAAACGCTGGAACAGATTACTCAGATAAAGAAAAAGATCCCTGTAACCAAATCCATTGCAGGAAATCCTAAGAGAGATCATTTGCAATTTATAAACAACGATTCAATTTGGTTGGGATGGACAGAGAATAACATGCGTCAGGAGGATCTGAAAAAACCCTAGACTTACCGGGTTGGAGAAAGGAGATGCTAAGAGCAGCTACTGCCGCTCTCCGCCACAGAAACCGGAAGATGAAAACCTAAGAAGAACTCAGCGCGAGTCTGGCGTGACACTTTTATTCGTTCGTTCGAGTTCACAGAAATACCCCCACTCATCGAGCATATTCACCGAAATTCGCACCCGAGAGCACGTGCGGCACGTGCGATGGACACAGATTGTACGCCAGTGCCTCCCATTTAGTGGGCCGGCCCATCCCGTGGGCTGGCTATCTAGAGCAGGTTGATTAAGTGGGCTCCACTTGTTAAACAAGCTTCAATTTGATGAGTGCATTCGAGCGAATTTTGACAACTTGTTCGGCAATTAGCGATTCATTTAAAATTTGTTAGTATGCTATATTTAAATTATAATTTAAATACTTTACTTCAAATATTTAAATTAAAATATTTGCTCATCTTCTCTCTCTCCTCTCTTCATCCTCATAATCGGCGGGCGACAATTGTCGGAAGGATCATATTTGGGCAATAGCGATCGATAGTGAAAGATGGTCAAAATAATTATAATCAGCGAACGACAATGGAAATAGGAAGCCTCAACATTTGCTACCAAATGGAGGTCCAACGACGATGGTTGGGTAGAGGTCCAACAATGACGTCCTAGTGGCGTGAATTCATCGACAATGATGTCGAGATCAAGCTCAGGATTCTTCAAGCCTCGTAGCTTTTCTCTTATTCCACATCATGTGAATAATGAGGGTTCATTTAAAATTTTTTAGGAGTGGCATGCTCAATAAAATATGGAGAAGATCCAAGATAAATTTGAGTGTTCAAATTGATGGCTAATATAAATTCCCTTGATTATGGATATTTCTTTAAACATTTATGTCTTAATGATGTTGGATTTCGGCAAACTTAGGCTCGTTGGATTTTTCTTGTCGAGCCACTCGATTCGACTGTAAGCATGTTATATTTATATATAATTTGGTCATCGAATTAATATTCTGAAGCTTTCAAAAATGTTTTGATCCTTTGATTTGGGCTCATTTTGGCTAGAATTGGATTTGAATTTGGTGTCATTGGGTTCGTCTCCCTGAGATGTTCAATTCAACTATAAGCTTGTTGGAATCGGAGTTTGGATGATCTCGAACTTAATTTTGAAAATTTTTATTCATATTTGCATCAAAACTCATGCCTGATCAAAACAATTTTTAGTGACATATCAACTTATGCTCATTCACCAACTTATGTGACCCACTAAACTATTTATTAATTGTATATAAAAAGTGAGCTCGTACTATAAAAGACACTTTTAAAGGAACTGAACGGGTCTGAGATTTTTTTTTTGGCATGCAACAGAAGTGGCTATTATTTTTCATTTTCTTTTTATTATAACTAATTTATATTAATTAGAATAAATGCATTGTGCTTGATGTTAAGCTCGGCCATTACACCATTTGATTGTCAAATTTATTGGAATGTGTCAAAATGAGATAATATGATAGCATTACATCTTTATTAAATCATAATAAATTGCCTAATACAAACATATATGTGTTTATATATAGTAAAAAGAATGGATCAATAAATGAATGTAAAATACCCTCAAGAATAAGTAGATGTTCTGATTATAAAAAAATAATGTCCTTTCTATTATAATTTTGCACATGGGTAACGTAATTATGCAAATAATTCTATTAAAATCAAATTGGAATAGAAACTAGTTGGTTGAGTTTCAAAATATTAATGAAGAGGTTGAAGGTTTGTTGCACAGATATTACAAGCGTTCTTGGACGAGCATTATCAATACTCACAGGAATATGTAATAGAGTCGAGCATATATGAATTAAAGAGATTTGATATTGTGATAAAAGGATTTATTCTTTAAAACATATATACATATGATCCTCAAACTGAGGATAAACAATGGCATGAAAATTGTTATGAATTGATTTAGTTTTATATTGTTGTTCATGCAGGTTATCACATCCATGTAAATCTCTATAAATATAGATTGTATGTGATGTAATATTTGGGAAAAAATCTGAATAAAGCTTAGTTTTATTTCCTTCAAATTTATGTGTTCCCTCTCCTCCCTCTCCCTCTCCCTCTCCCTCTCCCTCTTGCTAGAAGAGCTCAAGTGAGCTCTCAAAAATCTTCCTCCTAGTTATAACAAAAATGATATGAGACTATACAAATAGGATATATCAATGGTGTTTGCAAACAATATAGATCTACATTGTTAAATGGAATGTATCAGTGGAGAGTGTTGATGGATATATATCAATGAAGAGCATCAAAGGAGAAAATTAATAAATAATATCAATAAAGGGCATCATCACATCAACCTATAATATTGGCAAAGAGTGCAATAGAGAGTATATATAGTGAGCATCAGATATTGATATATGATATGGTATTTAGTAGAGAAAACTTATATAGGAGTACTAACAAAGAGCTTCCACAAGTAAGATAATTGGAGAGATTATGGGCATATAGAGTCATGATGCAATAATCCACAAAGAAACAAACAAAATTTCATCAAATTTGTTTAATTAGAGATGTTGGAGATGCCGCCAAAATAAAGGCAAAGAAGATTGTGGTGAGCGGAGTCGATAATGAAAACTGACAAATGACATGATGCTCAATTAATAACAAAAAGGATGTTGTCTGGTGATGAGTATGCGAGGAACCCGCTTTAGAGTGGAGAGAAGAAATAAAACTATAGATAAATTGAGAATCTATAAAATGCTAAAAAATTTACGAATCTCAAACTAGCATAACATCAACCATAATTAGTCAAAAATATCTCAAACTACTTATAATTGTCCCTTATGTATAGGCTCTGATGGCTACATAAAAGACTATACCTAAGAAAACTAAAAAGTATAAAGCTACACAAAATATGAAAGGCACTTATTGCCTCCTGATTCGGTGAGAGAGAGTAGGGGTTGAAGAACTTCAATGTTTTATCCCTAAGTGAGCTCAATCGTGTCGAGAATGCACCAAGCAACCTTTGTAGTATGGGCAAACTTAGTAGTGTTGAATAGGAATAACGGGTGAGCCTATGAGGAAGTTTCGAATAAGAGGTATTTGATGACTGAGGGGTGTTTGAGAGCCGTTGATTACTAAGATAAGCCTTGGATTGCCTAAAAGAGGAGGTAAATGGTCAGTCTATCTTGTAAGACAAGTTTAGGGCTCCTTGAGTAGGCATAGATGAGTTCAATGGTCGATTTGCCTTGGTAAGACACGTTTATGGCTTCTTGAGTAAGCATTTCCTGTAAATGAGTTTGGCGAGTCCATTTGAGGGCGAATAATCTAAGAGAGAGTGAGTGGATGTGTGTACGCCTGCAAGCGTGCATGCATGGATGTGGTATAGGTATGTGGTAGGTGCCAAGCTGTAAGCTTGGTGAGGAATCCCTAATTTATCATGTGATGACCTCCATGATATGTCCATGCAAGCAGTGTCTATTGATATTTTTTGGGCGAATTCTCCCATGGATTTAGGTTGAGTAGATGATGTAACACAACAATTAAATCAAATATATAAAGCTAAAGTTCTAATTACAATAGCTCAAATAAAAGCCCAATAAGATGCTAAAGTTAAAGGTTCAATTACATGAGCTCAAAAAAAGAGCCCGAGAAGATGCTAAAATATGAACCTAATCAAGGCCCATTATAAGAGTTTTAATGTTTGAATTAAATTTAGCATCTAAAAGCTTTAACTCTTCTTAGGGAAGATGTATTGATTAATCATTTAATAGTGATAGGATGAATTAATGAAAGTGATTATCACATTCCTTCATTGATGGCCACTTACTCTCTTTTCCCCTCAAATTTTACTTCATATTTTTTTAATTTTGATTTGTCATTGCAGCTCTACAAACAGTATTGGAGTGCAATGAAAATTTTAGCTTTTGAATGAGAAGATAACTTTGGAGGAATTTATTCTTTTTTGATTAATGTTTGGTGGCCTACGTTGACCAACATTGGTGGGATTGATAGGTTATCTTTTATATTCTTACTAAATAGTTGTATCATCATCTTCCATACTCTAGCTATTTTTCAATATCATTCATCCACAACCAAGACATTAAAAAAAGGTTAAAACAACCCTCCTTAAATCCCTCGACCTAATTTAGGTTTGTTTACATCTATTATCATTCTCCATAACATTATAAGACCTTTAACCTCACATAATTATATCATCTACTCCATGTCATAAGTTCACATATTACTCTAATCCTCCACCATCATATTTAGCAATTTAGTCCACTCAAATTCCATTCCCTAAAGTGAACTTACAAGTCAGATCAAACTAGCGTAAATTGGACTAGTCTTGGTATTCCTTTGACCTTGCCTCTCCAAACTTCTCATTCTTTCTCTAAAAACTCCATATCACTTTTATAAATAATAGACTCTATATTCCTAAGTATTTTTATTAACTAATCAGTTGGGCCTCTTGAATGGTTCGGCAAGTTCCTCAGGTAGGCAGTGGGCCTTATTTGAGAGTGAGTTCCTTATCACGACCTATCGTCTACCTATTAAGCACCTATGAAGGTATGTGGGAGTATATAGAGGAAACATATTTGTTCCCCAATATGATATAAGAGATAATTTTTCACAATTTCCATTAAGTACCATGCCTTCATAGGTACTTTTTTAACTTAACCTCGTTATTTGATGACCTTTTTTGTTAAGGCTATAGGTTTGAGCTGAATGTGGAGCTTGATTTTGGATTCTTTGTTAAAGCTGTATCTTGTTCTAGCAAAAATAAAATTTTAGATTATGATAGTATCTTTAAAATTGTATTAATTTTAAAATATATTCCTTGAATTTACTCAATTCCAAATTAGCTCAAAACATTTTTGAGCTGATTCATGATGCAACATAAACAAAATATAAGATATATTTTTATCATCAATAATTCAACAAACATAAATTTAAGCATGCAATGGATAAAATAAAAAATAAAAACGTTTAACATTTTTTAATTGATTAAGATCTAAGCTTTGTATCAAAAACTATCTTTTGTAGATATTTATGTTTGAGATTCCCAATAATCAAAAGTATAAATCAATTAAATCATAACTTAAATTTTATCATTATTATTATTATTATAAATTTAAAAATGAAAAATATGCTTATAAAGATAAATTATGGATGTAAAATTATTTATTTTTATAGAAATTTATTTGTTATTCATTTATGAAGTAAAATTAAATGCGTATTAAAGAGTTCTCAAGGTCAAAAATAAATAAATAGTTATAATATATTTGAGGCAAAGTGTCACATATCTTTTAATAATCTTATATAGATAATGATTTAACTTGACTTGGAAAACATACACCAAACAAAACATGTATGGTGACTTAAGGGCTTAAATATATAAAATTTTCAACCATTAAAAAAATTATTTCATTACAAAAATGAAGGAAACCCTTATAACAAAATAAACAAATAAATAAAGTGATACATATTATTTTCCCTAGCCAAAAATAATGTGGAAACTAATTATAGTCAGATTCTCCAGCAGATGGACTGCTACCTGATGATAGCAGCCATTTAGTTTACAATAAAATATACTAAGGTTCAGAATTAAGCAAAAACTGAATTTTACATAGATTTTAAGTAATAAAGAGGTGAATTGAGTCGATCACATGATAAATTGAAATATCCTATAGTTACCCTAGTATTGTCTATGTGAACCATAAGATTATTCTACCAATCCAAATGAAAAAGAGTTTTCTAAAATTCCTATGGCAAGTATTGTATTAAAAAGTTCCATAAATGAAAGTGTTCTGAATCTATGATGGTGAGAATGATGCATGTTTGCTTAAGTTTCACTCATCTAATGTGTGTTGTGAATTAGAGCAAAATCACTCTTAGATATTTGTCGAGCTTATAATAGTTTTAAGTAAAGTTTACACTCCACTATAATTATTCTATCTACTTAGACTCTAAAACACTAGTTTTCATATGTCAATGCATAATAATATTTCATTTTAATTATTCTATTTGTTCAATAATTCACGCTAGGTTTTAAGTTAGAGCTTGACAGATGTGATGTAATAACCAAATTAAGATAGAGATAATTGAAAACAACATTGAACATTACAAGCACTAGAGTAAACTTAAATAAATCATACTTTCTCACACATCACAAATCCATAACAAGTAAATTAATCAGCCATTGATTGAAAATACACAAAACAGTTTTAATTTAAACAATATTAAGTAGATATAAAAGAGGAGTTAGTAAGATGTCACTCGTAAGCACTTTTACAATTGATTACAAACACTTTTTGATTTGCAAATGGTCTTATCTTGAGCACTCTCACTCCTACACTATTTTGCACAAGAAAATAGTGGTTAACCCTCACAAATTTGGCCAAAAACTATTTATATTAAACATAATAACTGGCAATACCGTTGTAACACTGCAAAGAGTGGCGCCGCGATACTGATGAAGTGAACTACCATTATAGCACTGCTAAGGCTTCGTTTGGGACAACTTTCTTTCTGCTTCTTAAAGCAGCTACCTAGTACAAAAATTTTAATTTTTATATTATGAAGCTGGTTTAAGAAGCAATAAAGCCATCCCAAAGGCTTCGTTTGTTTGGGACGGCTTTCTTACTGCTTCTTAAAGTAATTTTTTAATATAAAAATTATAATTTTTAAACAAGAAATTAGTTTTAAGAAGCAATAAAAAAGCCGTCCCAAACGAAGCCTAAGGGACGGCTTTTTTACTGCTTTCTAAAACGGAGTTTTAGTACAAATTTTTTTAGGCTTCGTTTGATTCGGTTTATGCTTACATAAAAAGGAGTTTTAGAAAAGGAGGTTTAGAAAAAGCCGTTCAATAAAATGGAGTTTTAATAATGAGATATGTTTGACTAATATTTTTAAAAGTGCTTATTAATACTTGAAAGTAATTTTAAATTGTTTGTTTAGAAGTTCTGCTTTTGAGATTTTATTATAAAAGACATAATTGATGTAATAACCACATTGAACATTACAAGCACTAGAGTCAACTTAAATAAATCATACTTTCTCACACATGACAAATCCATAACAAGTAAATTAACCAGCCATTGATTGAAAATACAAAAAATAGTTTCCATTTAAACAATATTAAGCAGATATAAAAGAGGAGTCAGTAAGATGTCACTCATAAGCACTTTTACAATTGATTACAAACACTTTTTGATTTGCAAATGGTCTTATCTTGAGCACTCTCACTCCTACACTCTTCGCTAAAACTTTCACACTATTTTGCACAAGAAAATAATGGTTAACCCTCACAAATTTGGCCAAAAACTATTTATATTAAACATAATAACTGGCAATACCATTGTAACGCTGCAAAGAGTGGCGCCGCGACACTGATGAAGTGAACTACCATTATAGCACTGCTAAGACTTCGTTTGGGACGGCTTTCTTTCTGCTTCTTAAAGCAGCTACATAGTACAAAAATTTAATTTTTATATTATGAAGCTGCTTTAAGAAGCAATAAAGCCATCCCAAAGGCTTCTTTTGTTTGGGACGGCTTTCTAACTGCTTCTTAAAGAATTTTTTAGTATAAAAATTATAATTTTTAAACAAAAAATTAGTTTTAAGAAACAATAAAAAAGTCGTCCCAAAAGAAGCCTAAATCTCTCTCCTGTGGTGTTGGATCTGAATTGACGCGTAGTTTCACCATGTAACAGATCCAACCGTTGCACCGCGGCGTTGGGGCAATTTGGCATTGCAGTGCCATCTCCAGCGCTATGAAATTTCTGTTTCCTTGGCGCTACGATGTTTTTCTCTTTGACTCTTTATGGAAAATTAGAGGTCAAGCGCCACGGTGCCCCGTGGACCTACGTCGGGACGTTGAATTAAATCGTAATTTTTTAGAGAATTAAGCGCAACGGCGCTCTTTCGTTCCTAGAGCTTCGATGCTGAGTGTGCTACAACACCCGATGATCTGGTGCTAGAGCGTTGAATTAAATTGCAAAAATCTAGAGAGAAAGGGGTCACATCATTCTTCCAGGGGCTTTGCTGCGCCTGAGCTGTGCAGTTATCTCACAATACTTCCCCACTAAGCCACCACTGCAGTTCGGCATGGCAACCTTTTACAAATTTCACCTCCATTAAACATCAGCAACTACCTGTGGCATCTTCACCATCAGATAGAGACTTCCCATTTGAAGAAATCATACGATGTTCTTCTTAAATGCAGGTGCGCATATCTCAACTGCTTTCAAAATTTATTGAAATTGATAGATTGTGCGGTAGATGTTGTGTAGCAGTGTAGGAAACAAATCCAAATGTGATTGATATCAGTGAACATATTGAAGTTATGAAGCAACCCAAAAGGCAAATTGAGAAGCATTTCTAGAGGGGTGAGCTTTCAACTTTTTCTTCTCGCACAGATGCTGAAAAGATAATTTTGTCAAGAAATTAGAGATGAGAGATGCAATTGGTTCCAATGCAATTGATGATGTGCATCAATATTTTTTATCACTTAAACTGGGTTTTATCAGGCAAATTAAGGTCTTCTCATAGAAGAAATAATGAAACAGTTTTAGCTTATGATAAGGCATAAGATTGCAACAGCTATAATTCAAAATTTATATAATTATTAATTCTTTAAATTTTGCAATGATTTTAAATATTATAATTGAAGTTGTTGTGATTTTATTTTCCTTGCGATAGCAGAATTGTCAGCGGATTGCATTCGTGTCTATTCTGCAGCATGTTACTGAACTCCTTTTTCTTTGGTAGTTATTGTGTCCAAAATGGTTTTTGATTATGTGATACTTTTTCAAATTCAGAAAGTCAAAAAAATCTGAATCATTGAAAATAACCATCTTAAAAATATAAAATATATATTTTTTCCATTAAACTCCAAAATTTTTGTTATTGCAAACCTATCAATAAAAAAATTAAAATGGATAAAATTATTTATTTATAGTGAAATTTATGAGTTAATAAGATTTTATAAAATCTTAAATACAAATATTTTCATAATCTTATTGAGGCATAGTGTCAAATATCCTCTTAATAAACTTTTTGATATTAATGATTTTGCTTGACTAACACAAAGGAAAGGTAAACATTGACCTTTCTAATGGCTTAATTGATATGACCGGTACAAGTTTAGCAGAAATTTTCCTTTGAAAAATGAATTTTATCATCTACCCTAATATATATAACAAGAAAATCAAATCATTTTTACTTTGAAAGAGATTGATGAACATAACTAAGAGCAACAAAGAGTTCATTAGCCAAAGCAAAATTGCAGAGCAGATAAAAGCTGATTCAGCATGACTGATGAGCTTGAGGAGAAGGATCTAAAATGTGAAAACAAGCTGCATGCAGCTTACTATTCTGCAATTATCTTGTAGAAGGATATTAACGTACAATTCGCGTTCACGAGATATTGCAATCTCCCCCAACTCTCTTTCAGAACTATAATTATTATAGTTGACTTTGAGAACTTGGCTGTATAAAAAATATGAAAGATTAATTACTTACGTAATGGATGACATCAATTCTAATTATGAAATAAGATAATAATAACTATTAATCGCTGAGAAAGATATTTCATTCATGCAAGTAATTTTCCATAAAACGGCGATCCGGTTAGGAAAGTAGAGATATTAGATTTGACTTATGTTAAAAAAGATTGAGGTAGGCCTAAAAAGACCTGATTAGAAAATATTAGACATGATTTTTCTTTATTAGATTTAAACCAAAATTTGACTTTCACAAGACACAATGAAGAAAAAGGATTTATGTAGCCGACCCTACGTAGTGGGACAAAAACTTGATGTTGTTGTTGCTGTTGAGTGATTTTCCAAAGCTATTAAATGAAGAAACGTGCACTTCTCTCTGGTATGATCTGATCTGAATTTGTTTATATAATCTTTTGAAGGCAGGAGTGGCTGAACAACTCCTTTTCACTTTCTTAATTCTTTGGCATATCATCCTTATTCAATGGAGAAATTTTGTATCATTAGCATCAACCTCCTAATCATTATCTTCTCCCTTGTTTGTTTATCTCCCAAGCAATTGTCAGCATTTGGTGACAACAATACAGATTTTGAATCACTTATTTCCTTCAAGCATCAACTCTTGAAGTACCAGAGTAGTACGGTTTCGCGTGCCATTTTTATGAGCTCATGGAACGATACTAACAAGCATTTTTGCTCATGGGAAGGTGTCTTATGCGGCCGCAAGCACTCGAATAGAGTCACAGCCTTGGATCTCAGTTCCAGTGGATTGCTTGGTCCTCTTCCTCCTTCCATAGTCAATCTCACCTTCCTCGAAAGGCTTGATCTTAGCAACAATAGTCTATATGGAGAAATCCCTCCTAATCTGATCTCAAATTTGAACCGGTTGAAATATCTCAACCTAAGTTTTAATTCATTTCATGGAGACATTTCTGTCATTCTCATCACTAATAGTTCTATGCTCCAAGTTTTGGAACTCAGCAATAACCAACTCAAAGGTAAAATCCCTCCTCTTATTAGCTCCATATCAAGGCTTAACTTCTTTGGTCTTAATAACAATGGCATCACTGGCAAAGTCCCACCTTCAATTGGCAATCTCTCTTTCTTGGAAAATCTCTATGTCCTCAATAATCATTTGGAAGGTAGTATCCCACTAGAGATTGGTGGCCTTCGCAAGTTAAAAAATTTAAATATGGCTGAGAATAATCTTTTAGGTAACATTCCTTCTTCATTATACAATCTATCATCGTTGCTTAGAATTTCATTGACAAATAATCATCTATCTGGTGGTATTTCAGCTAACATTGCCCAAGCTTTTCCAGACTTAGAAATCTTTTTTATTGCTGAAAATCATTTCATTGGTTCGCTCGATCAAGTTCTTCAAAATGTTACTAGCCTTGTGCGTTTGGATGTCAGCCTTAATAATTTTAGTGGAGTGATACCACCAGATCTTGGAAGAATGCATGAACTTATATACCTCAATATGCAATATAATGAGTTTAAAGCAAGTGATGCACAAGATTGGAGATTTCTTGATTCATTAACTAACTGCACCAGCTTAGAAATTTTAGCTCTTTATAGCAATAACCTTGGCGGAATGCTTCCAAAATCAATTACGAATCTCTCCACTGAGTTACAAGTATTAACATTAGGATTCAATCATATTTTAGGAAGTATCCCTTATGAACTTGATAGGTACAAAAATTTAATTGCTTTTGGGATGGAGGGAAATCTTTTGAAAGGTCCTATACCCGAGAGCATTGGAAAGCTTGGAAGGTTACAATCTTTATCTTTTAGCAATAATAGACTTACAGGAATTATTCCTTACTCTTTAGGCAATCTCACAAATCTTAACTCATTGGACCTGGGACTTAATCAATTAACAGGCGTTATACCTACAAGCATACAAAATCTTCAGATTCTCACTAATTTGGACCTCCACCATAATAATCTAAGTGGCTTGGTTCCAAGAGAGCTTTTTCTCATCCCTTCCTTTTCAAATTATCTGAATTTATCTTATAACTCTTTCAATGGGTCTCTACCACTTGAAGTTGGTCAGCTAGTAAATCTCATATCACTTGATTTTTCTAATAATGAGTTTAGTGGGGAAATACCAAAATCACTTGGAAGGTGTCAAATGTTGCTTAAATTGTATATGAAATATAACTTCTTCCATGGCTCCATTCCTATTTCTCTAGGCAACATAAAAAGCCTTGAAAAACTAGATATTTCACATAATAATTTATCAGGCCCTATTCCTCAATTTCTACAAAATCGTGTCTCACTTAAGTATTTGAATCTATCATTTAACAATCTTGAAGGTGAGGTTCCAAATGAAGGTATCTTTGCAAATAATTCCTTAGAAATTTCTCTTATTGGAAATGAAAAATTATGTGGAGGAATTCCAAAACTTCATTTGCCAAAGTGTATTAATAGATCATCATCAATAAAAAATACACATCATTTAATCAAAATTATAGTCCCAATTTTTAGTGGAGTAGTTATGCTATTAGTCCTTTTGTTGTGTTATATTTTGCTTTATAGAAAACAAAAGCAAAGTAGTCGAAGAAAAAATTCATTAGTCTCATCCTTAAACACTCCATTTCCAAGAATTTCCTATGCAAAATTAGCCAAAGCTACAAATGGTTTCTCCAATTCATATCTAGTAGGATATGGAAGATATGGCTCCGTTTACAAAGCTACCTTAAGGGATTATCAAGCTATTGTGGCTATTAAAGTTTTCAAACTCGAGGTTCATGGGGCTTTTAAGAGTTTCACATCTGAATGTGATGCATTAAGGAGTATACGACATCGTAATCTTATCAAAGTCCTAACCTCATGCTCAAGCATTGATCATCAAGGCAGAGATTTCAAAGCATTGATTTTTGAATTCATGCCAAAAGGAAATTTGGACATGTGGCTCCACCAAGAATATGAAATTGATGGAGATGTTGTTCTTTCTCTAGAAAAGAGATTGAACATTATGATTGATATTGCAGATGCTCTGGAGTATCTTCACCATAGTTGTGAGCCATCAATCATTCACTGTGATATAAAACCAAGCAACATCTTACTTGATGATAACATGATTGCACATGTAGGAGATTTTGGACTCTCAAGAATATTTTCTGAGGATGTTAGTATGTCTAGCCAAGATTATTCAAACAAAAATGAGATTAAAGGAACTATTGGCTATATAGCCCCAGGTGATAAGATGACTTATATTCTTTATGCTATAATTATTCATGTCAATATTTACTTTCAATATAAGGTAGTCTTTTAACGTATTATTTCCTTAAAACATATATTATCTTCTATTTGTAGAATATGGTGGAGGAGTTCTCCCGTCTTCCTCTGCAGATGTTTATAGTTTTGGAATAATACAACTGGAGATGCTTATTGGAAAAAGGCCTACTGATGATATCTTCAAGGATGGCCTAAACATACATAACTATGTTAAAATGGCATTTCCTCATAGAATCAATAACATCATAGATCTTAAAATGTTTACAGAAGAGCAAAGACATACTATCAGTAATTTTCAAAGCATCAACAAATGCTTGATTTCCTTGGCAGAAGTAGCTCTCTCATGCTCAGCTTCATTACCAGAGGAAAGGCCATCCATGAGAGATGTTGCTATGAAATTACATGCAATTAGAGTTTCATACCTTCAATGTAATGGAAGTAGCGAGTTCTCTTAAAAAGGTGGGGTCAACCACATTTAATTAAAAAATAATGTGAATAACTTTAAATGCACTTTATCAGTAAATTTACTAGAGAAGTAGAACTAGCTAGGATAATTTATATGTGTCGATTGAGAGGTTTTTTTTTTTTTTCATTGTGACATTAATTCACCCATCAATTAATCAATGAAATGTTCATTTTTTTATAAAGTTTCAACTAAAGTTGCAGAATTAAAAAAAATGTATATGAAGTATATGGGAGTTTGACAAAAAAGATTTTCTCCATTGAATTGAATTTTTTTTTAGTTGATATATTCATATAAGTTTATTTTTAGAAGATCTTTTGAGGTAATGGTAATGTGTTCTAGACTTTATAATTCTGCAGTTATAATCACTTAGATTTCATAAAAGTTTATGGCCTTTTTATCTATTAAATATTAGATATATAATAAAAACTTATAAGATTTAAATTTAATAAACAGTCAAAATTTGGTTGAAGTATCTTTTTAAAAATCTTGTAGATAACGATTAACGATTGCGCTTGACTTAGAAAACTGAGACAGAGAAAAAGATGAACGTAGACTTTAAAGCCTAAATGAAATGTGTACAAGTTGGGTGAAAAATTCCTTTGGAAATGGATGGTATCTATAAAATTGAATATAATATGATAATAAAAATCATTATTCATCAATACATATAAATGAATATCTTATTTTCTTATTTGTTAAATGAGATTGTAGTACCGTCGTAGAACAGAGGCAAAGATTGAACAACTCTTTTTTTTTTTTTTTTTTCAAACAGTTAATGTAACACCTTTAGATTTAATATTCAGATCAATATATTCTCACCCGACTTAAAAATGTAAATTTGTTAAATTTCAGCATTTGAATATTTATGCATATGTTTGGAAATATTTTGTATGTATGTGAGAGTCTGCAAATATTCTGAAATGGGTCTTGAGTGTTTGTTTGCATATTTCAAAAATCTAATTTTGTCCCCTTAATCAAGGTGCCATGACCCTTGGTTCGGCGGCATCGCGGCACCATTGCTGTCAGGTTTTCCTGCGCAGGCACATCGTCACCATGAGTTCAAGTTGGGCTTCGTCGTGAATCCACTATTTTATTCATTATGTTTTGTTTAGGCAGTCACAGAGAGGAGAGATGAGTCGCTTCAGGTCCATTTCAACTGACGGCATAGTTCTGAAAGTTGTTCGGATCGAGGTAGATCACTTTTTGTCTATCTTAGTTTTTATAAATTCAAAGATTTCTCATTTTTTTTATTAACTTTAAATTTTCGTAATTAAAAAAAAAATAATTTTACACCTGCAAAACTTTCATAGAGTAATTTTTTTTTTATATTATAGAGAGACAGACTTTGGACATTTAGATATTTTTTTGAAAAGTTTACATCGAGATTTTTGAGAGTTATGTATTTTAATTGATTAGAAGATAAATTTGAACTCAAAAAATAATGTTGTAATATAATTAAAGTCTTAAAATAATGTTTCACACAATCCCTGATAATTGGTTGTATTTTGAAACAGTAAATTTCTATACATTATATATTTTGCTATCTATTGTTGTAGTATTTGGTGAAATTCTAAAATGAGTTTATTTATACTTCAATTTATGAAATACAATGAATTATGTGCTTATTGGATTGAAATGCGTGATTATGAAGAGGTTCTGATGTGTGGTGGAATATTTTAATGATTGATATGTGCCAAGTATTGGAAGTCATAAGGGTCTGTTTTCTGTTATGCTAGCATATATAGAGAGTCATAAGAGCTTGAATTCTGATATATTTTTGATGGGAGGGATAAGAGCTCAACAAAATCTATTGCTTTTTGCTATTTTTTTACACAGGATGCTTGTCTAGTTTAATCTATTGGTTTTTGCTATGATATATAAAGTGTTTGTTTATTTACTTTCTCAGCATAGTTATTTAAAGTTTTGATAACTATAGTTATTATTCTACTCAAAACATTAATTTAATATATTGCTTTTAATATTAAGTTAAATGCTTAAAAATGGGTTATTTGAAAATTTAGATCGGTATATGTGTGGCCTATTGAGCTACGTTAGCTCACAGATGTTTGCCTTATATTTTTAGTGTCTAGGAAATGGAAGGAGTAAGCTGAGTCGTAGTTTCAGAATCTGATATGGGTCTAAATAGGTACTTTTTTTCTTTTGATTTTTATACGGTCATAGCTAGTTATTGTTATTTTCATTTTTGTATTGTAGTTAATTATTGTACATAGGCTTTGATGATGAAATGAAAAGAATTTTGTGGATGAATTTATTTTCAGTATTATGAATATTATTAATAGCTATATGCAGTCAGTTATTTCTTTAGAAGTTTGTATTAGAAGAAAAATATAATTTTTTTTTGAAAACTTAGATCTTATGGTATGCCGGTCGCAAGCCAACACAATAAAACTTGTCCAATGTATGAGTCTTATTGGGTTAGGTTGTGACATTATGACTAATAGATATAATTTTCATAATAATTAAAAAAATAAACATCACATTAAAGTGAGAGATCCACCTAATTGTCCTTAGTACTTACTAAGGAATGCTCAATTCAATATTCAAAACAATAATTTCCCCAAAAAAAAAACAATATTCAAAACAATAAATTCTATTAAGTTTTTTTTCTTTTCTTTATGTAATTAAATATATTTATATTGTTTTTAGTGATAATCTTTATTGTCTCCTTTTAAAAGCTGACCACTAATATCATGCAAATTGTTGTATGTAATCAGACTATTGAATTTACTAGAACATAACATTTTCTTCTCTCACTTTTTCAAACTTCGATGAGTTGATCCTCTGAATTACAAATGAAACCAAAACCCATCGCTCCTATGGCTTGCCTTACTTCATTATTGATCATTAATCCATCTGCGCAACTTCACTCAAATCAAACTCACTCCCAATAGGTATCCATCATGGAGAGCTCAATTAAATGCAATCCTTTCTTCAAGGATATAATATTCTTTTGATATCAACAAAGATGCCACACAAGCCTCTCCCATCATAAATCAAGGATGGTTTAAAATCACCAATCCAAATCAGGATATCTGGGTTCAACTGGATCAACTCCTACTTCATGCCATGCTTGCGATCCATGCGATAAACACACTAGTTATGTATGCCAACCATTTCCAATTGCGTAACTATTCTTCATATAGAAAATTGCCCATAAAAAATAATAGCAAAAACTCTATCATAGAGTTTCTCCAAACACTCAAAAGTCTCACTGATTAACTACCCTTGTTGGAACCCCAATGCAAGAGGATGATCTCATTTTCTATAAATATAGTTGGGCCATAATTAAAAATAAAAATAAAAATCAGTGGATCCATGAGAGTAAGAGAACAATTGATTTTATATGCAATTAATGAACCCCATGAGATAGCAGTATTCCATAAATCACTACCAACAACTTCCAAAAGAGAAGTTTCAATAAAAAAAATGGACACTACAAGAAATTCATCAATTACCGGCGGTCCTGACCTGCGGTTTTCTAGTTGCCGGTATTAATGGCGGTTTACCCAGCGGTGTGACCGCCGGTTTTTACCAGCGGTCTAACCAACTGTTATATTAAATACAACCGTTGGAAAAAGCGGCGGTCCAGAAACCGACGGTTAAACGGCCGGCATTAAATCTTACCAGTGCATTACCGGCTTCTTGAACCGCCGGTGTTAAGTAAATTTATTTCCGGCGGTCTGAACCACCGGCTAGCCGCCGGAAAATTCCCTAGAACAATTCGTCCCGAGCCTTCCATTTCATTTCATTGCCTGCTCTCTCTCTCTCTCTCTCTCTCTCTCTCTCTCTCTCTCTCTCTCTCTCTCTCTCTCTCTCATGCGCGGCCATCGCCCTCGTCTCCTCCACCCTCTCGCGATCGAGATGCCTCCTCAGGCCGCCAACGAGCTCCCTCCGGCCGCCAAAAAGTTCCTCCAAACGAAAATCACGCCTCCACTCCGGCCGCTGAAGGCTCTCCCCGCTTCTGTCTCCTCGCCTCCAAGGTTTGTGTTTTTTTTTTTAATGCATTTTGTTGTTATTTTGGTTATATTACATCAAGGATCAGTCTTAAGCCAATATCTTTTTGCTTTAGTCATGGATGTTCTCACTAGACATTTGTGATAGGATGTTCCTTGTTGTATGCTTTTTGTTGATAATATTCTTCTTGTTGATAAGACTAGAGAGGGAGTTGATGGTAAACTTGAATTATGTATGTTAACCCATAGAGTCTAAAGGTTTTCGCTTGAGTAGATCTAAAACTAAAAATATGAAGTATAATTTTATTAGTGATAGACCTAGTGAGTGGTTTGTGGCTTTGAGCGATCAAGTCATTAATAAAAGTACACGTTTTAGATATATTGGATATATTGTTCAAAGTGATGGTGAAATAGAAGGGGATATTATCAGCACAATTCAAGTTGGATGGTTCGATATAGAACGGCTAATTAAAGCAGTCGGAAAACTTCTAAAACCGCCGGTCAATACCGGCAATTTGCCGACGGTGTCCGGCAGTACGTCGGCGCGGCGCGATCTCACCACCGGCAATACCGTCGGTGTTAACCTCCAGTGATTTTATTGACGGCTTATCGGCGGTCTATTCTGTAATAACGACGATGTTTATACCGGCGGTTGAACGGCTGGTACGCCGTCGGTAACAAAACTGGCGGTCACCGGCGCTTAGACAGCTGGAAGCTAACCGGCGGTATTAACCGCCGGTGAAATAAACCGCTGGAAAAAAAAAAACACCACCGGAAAAGGTTTCCGGCGCCGTTTCTTCTGACAGTTTTTGAACCGCCGAAAAGCCTCCCGTTTTTTGCCAAACCGCCGGAATAAATCGCCGAATGTGTGATTTTCTTGTAGTTGGATGCCATAAAAAATATCCTTATAAAAACTGAATCCGACAATATGAAGTTCCCACCACTAACCCAAACTAACCCCATAACCCTAGTTTAGTGTGTCATTTCAGTGACAAGCTTGCGTGATCACACGATAAGAGAATACTACACATCGAAATGCATGATTAGGATACACATCCCTTATGAGGCCAATCATACCACCACCAACGATCATGCCTCGATCACAAACCAACATTGCTCTTTTATACTGTAATTTCCTCACATCACGTTACCTAAGACATGGT